TGTAAAATTCTTTTAAATATTTTGTCTACAAGCCATAAAGAAGAGAAAACAGTGTAATAGTTGCGCCTTGAAATAGGTCTGAGCTTGGAAAATATTATGGATGCAAAAAATTTGGGTTCCAGAAGGCAGAGAAATTGAAACTGAGATAGAGGTTACATTTTTTAAGCCTTATACTGCATTTTAAGCAGCTTTTTTTCCCTTCAATTAACAGGCTAATTGTAGTAAATATAAATAAAAATTTATATATGAAACATAATTTCTTAGATTCCCAATATATTTTTTATTATAATATGAAACTTTATTTTGCATAATCTCCACTGTCTGCTAATGGTTATTTTTGCTACAAAATTACTCTACACTTTTGCTGTAACAGTTTCCACACAGGACAGAGGAGTCAGGTAACAGGATGGCAAGGACCATACATGCTACAAGACCATTATTTTGGTAAGCAGAACCTTTACCTATATTTCTGAAAACATGAATGTGCCTGTTAATTTGTTCAGCAGAGAAACGTAACTCCTGTGAGACATTACTTTTCAACTTGTATCACAGGGCAGTTCAATCTGGGCTTTTTATATATAAATCACAAAACAATCGACTACACAACCTGGTTTTTGTAACTTTAAAGACCACCTTCCTCCAGATATTCCACTCCGGCTTCTAATAAATCCGAAAAAAAAAAAACAAAACAAAACCAAAAAAACCCCCCAAACGCCCCCCCAAGAAACCATGGGATAACAAAGTATTTTCTGCAGAGGTTTGTCAGCCCTGGGGTAAACTTCATCCTTTGCAAGTAGCTGCAGGGCCTATATACAGAAACATAAAAAATTACTTTAAAGCATGGATACACTTTCAGTTTGCAATGACTGACAAAGTTTAGCCCTTCACTTCTGGTTTCTGTCCTACTGACTCCCAGAGCAGATCTCACTTGGCACTGTTTCCCACTTCAGTGCAGCAGGAAATGCACAGTGGGAAATGCAGTTAGAAAACCCCCCTGACATCAGGGTTTGAGCTGATCACTCTGACTTTGCACTTTGGTCAATCAGGATTGTCCCTCTATAGTGTAATCACAGCAGTACAGAAAAAAGTACCAGGTCCAAGTGCAGTTAGCATTGTTCAAATCGCCCAAATATTACACATAGGGTTTAATGTGCAATCAACATAAAAATGTAAAACTGAAAACACAATGTCACAAGCTCGGTCAACTACATAAAGATCAGAGCATGTTTAGGAACATTACTACATCTTCCTTTAAATTAGACTACATGAGATTATTTAGCAATTCCTAGGTATCATATTTCTCCATCTAAATCCAGAAGACATTTGGCTATGCTACTATTTCATAAAGACATTTAACTGAGTACTCAAAATGGTACATCAAAATAGCAAAATGTTTCTAATTTGGACACAGGACAGTCAACCATACTGAGCTCTGAAAAACGTCATTGTTGGGTCATTTAGATGAATCCAGCACATCAGCAGTGTCATCCTTTTTCTCCAGCACTCTTTTTCTCCCACACACTGATCAATTCCATGCTACCTACTTTCTTTTTCCTTTCATACCTCTTGCACAGTCCTTGCATCAACCATTAGCTTTTTAGACAGTTAAAAGAACACTTAGTCATTAGATTCCCTGTCAACAGCTGCTTCTGTTTCAGCACACAGCAAAGTTTTCACTTCTCTTTGGGGCAAGGATGGGGTGTCTGGATGTGCGTTGCTCAGGTCGAAGCTCCCAAGAGGCTAAACAATGGAGACAGTATCAAAACTCTGATGGTGCTGGCTGGGGTTGCTGAGGCCCCTTGTGATAAAATTCTTTCCTGAGAGCATAAAAAGATACTTTTGTTCTAAGAACAGAAAGTAACACTTAATATTGGTGCTTTAATGCATAGAACAGATATGCTTTTTATCTTTCTTAACTTTTTTCTCTAAATTTTCACTTAGCCTTACACCACCTAACATATGTAAGGGCAGACTTTCCTTTGCTCCTTTGCAGCCCAGCTGTTGCTGCTGTAAGATGATTGATGGATTCATTTTTTGAAAAATACATTTCTTGGTAAAATTACTAGATGCCACACGAATTTAACTTGAAAGTAGGCTACTAAATATATGAGTTCATTGCTGGCCTCAAGGAAAACAGAAACATACTACACTACATGATATTCATAACATGATCACAGCAAACCTATTCTTACTATTCATACTTGCTTTCAAGCAAATTTACTGAGTTCAGCTGCTAATTTTATGCTCCATACCTGAAATAACACTAACATAAACCTTCTGAGATAGCTCTCATGGTTTAGACATTAAGAAATCACCCAAATACCCTTGAAAACACTCTCTACACAACTTAGGGGTCTTTCATGAACTAAATTTAAACAAGAGTTTTTCTAATCTTTCCAAGTGAAAAGATTGGTTATTAAATGCATTAATGGTTATTAAAGGCAGAAAGAGATTGCCAGAGCACAAGAACTGGACTAGCTGTTTTCCAAAAACTGCCTTTCTGAAATAGCAAACTTCAAAATGAATGTGCATATCATATTTACTGTAACGACTGGATAAGCTTTTATTTTAAGCCACTTTGCTGGAACTTCAATATGAAATATCTAACATCAACATCTACTCTGCAACTGACATCTGCTTCTGAATCCTTGTTATTCTTAGTCATTTTTAGCAAACATTCTCTCATCATTACATGTATCAGAAAGCACAGAGGAATAAATTCCAAGCCATACAATGACTGTTTCCTCTGCTTTCCTATATACATATAGTTTAAAAGTACTGTTTATTTGCTTAATGTTTAGTTCTCACTCAGACTTAAATACAGTAATTCCTGCTTTCTGCTCGGATGATCCTGGGAGAGACCAAAGCCTCAGTCTCAAAGAAGGGACGTAAAGTGAAATTTAGTCAGGATTTAGATGACCAATTCCAAAACTGCAATATTTAATGCTGTTCAAGTGTTTTGCACTAATACTCTTCAAGTACCTAAAAGTCTGCTACTATACAAACCTTCAAGCACCTTATTAATCTCAGCCAAGATGAAAAGATTGGTTGAGATTATGATTGACTTCTTATGCTGGCAGCAACAGAACAGCAAGTCGTTCACCTGTCATGCCTAGGGGCCTTAATTTGGTAGAGGTTCTTAGGACACACTTCCTAAACTGGGCTGTATACAAAGCTCATTGGTAGCTGCTTCTTTCTGTTATAAAATGGCTAGATGCACTGCATGTATCATTGTCTTCCCACTTCTCCACACCCTTCATGCAGTGTCCTAATGAACACTGAGCTAAGATACAGGAAGCTGGCAGGACAGTGAAGGAGGGTATTTAAAAGAATAGCATTCTCCTCCAAAATCACACAAATTTCAGGCCCCAGTCTTCTTTCTTAACGATACTCTGGGATACACAGAAAAAATATTAGATTAATTAATACAGTGAGAAAAACAGAAGTTTGATTCTTTACAGAAGCAGCGTTAACTTCCACCTTATAACACACAAAGCCTTCAAGTATATTAGAAAGATAAAAGGGTGCCTGAGAATGTCTCCAGGTAAGCAGTAAGGAATAGTTCACATTCACATCAGCAAACTTTCCTCTGCTTCTGAGCAGACTGGCTGCAGGCAAAGTGCTGTTGGGAACAGTGCTTGGAACAAGCTCACTCCTGAACTGGGCCTGGAAACCATTTGGGAGTTGCCAAATGACTGCAACTGTTTTCACAATACAACAGTTCAAGTTAATCCTTTCCTGAAACAATTTAAGGCACTGTTTAATTTCCCACTGTATATCTGGCCATCTGAAACGGAACTGAAACTGAGAACACTCCGGCTTCTCCTTCCTCAATTTCTCGCCTAGGGATAATTACACATCAGAAAAAACAACTTCTTTTAATATTCTGTTCCAGATTACCCTGGACTATTTGGGAAAAAACACTCGATGCCCTTTAGACTGATTTTTGTTAGTCAATAGTATTTTTTGAATAAATGGATTTCTCAGTTCTAGAAGCTACAAGAAGTTAAATATTCTGCAAGAGGAATAATTTAGAAGAACTAGTGAAATTTTCAAAAGCCTTTTAAAGAGTTAGAAAACTAAACCCATTTTAAAGTAATTTACACATGGTATAAACTGAAGTTACTGAAGAAAGGCAAACTCAGCTCATCATCTGGATTGTCTTAGCTTGAAGTAGATACCAGTAGAACATGGTAGTTTGCATATCAAATTAGTTATTTTGAATTATTATATTTTAATTTATTTTTTAAGAACATACTAAACGTGGTATCCCAGTTTACATGAAATACAATGTCTCATCAAATTAACAACACCAATTCCAAAGGCCCAAAATGTTTTTGTATTCCAAGTACAACTGGCTGCCAAATGTACTTGGGTTTCCCTTAGAACACATTACTTATCAAAATTAGACTGAAGTTCTTAAGTCTGCTGGGCAATTCTGAAAAAATTGTTCAGTGCCATTTTGTCAGACCAATGCATTCTGTTTCTTATGACTATTTTTCTCTAAAAAGAGAGTAAAATAACACCCTAGTTATTACTGTTGCTTGGGCATACTGGGATTTCCACCATCACAGATAATTCAATATGATTTGAGGATGTACATAAAATTAAACATTACACTAGTGTATCTGAATTTGCAACAGAATGAAGAAGTATTAAAATAGATTATTAGAAACTTCATTATATATCAAATGTAAAATTTTACGTAAAATTTTATGCAAAATACTATGTAAAATTTTACATAAAAAATTTTTACACAGCAACCAAGTCATTATTAACAATTCATACAACAAATTTATGGAAGAAAAGAAGTGTACTTCTTTAAAGTTCATGTATCAGTTCTGACATTACTTATATTTCAAGCCCAAGATCTGTGATAATCATGTACCCCAGAAAAAAAAATCAGAAAGCAACAGAGGAATTTTGGGACTTTAGTTCTTTAGGAATCACTTTCTGCTGCTTTCAGTCATGGTGAATATTAGATTTTAAGTGGTACATACCCAAAGGCTCTCCTTTCTGTGTTGGTAACTCCAGATCACTGGAAACTGACACTTCATCAACAATAAATTTTGACAATTCTGTCCCAAGATATGTAACCTGCATAAAGAAATCTAAATGGATAACTCATTGTTTGAATCAGTGGGGTTTTTTGATAGGTGTAAAAATTTCACTTTTCTTACAAAACAGAGTTTATGCACTTACCAGTCTAATTTGTGTCCTAATCTGTGATTAAGGAGGAATTCTGCTAATTTAAATGCTAAATGAAAGAAAAAAACCCCACAAGCATAATACAGTCCATGTGCAGAGCCCTCTAAACTCTGCCAGTATTTTTGCAATGCTTGTCCATGACACCCCAACATTTCAATAAGCTTGTTCCTTTTTATTCAAACTACCTTTCAGCTTTTTCTATCTCTCTGAATCACTAATAAAAAGAGTGTTTTCAAATACATTAATGGCAACAGACAGTTTAAAAACAACATTGGCCTATTACATGATGAGGATGGTCACCTCACAAAGAGGGACAGAGGCAAAGCAGGGGTGTTTAATGCTTCCTTTGCCTTTGTCTTCAAGACAAAGCTATGTAGCTCTATTCTTTGCTGCTCACTCAGTAAAAGCATACCTTTTAAAATTTAGACTTGTACTCTTTTTTGCTTTAATAACAGTACAGAGATCTAGATTAGTGAAACTTGTTATATCCATTTATTATCGCTATTTTTGGCAGTAAAATCAGACTTACCTTATTCCACACATACTTCCATGTCACAGAAATATCACTTCCTAGTAGGTCTTTAACCCATTGAACTGGATTCTGTAGAATTTGTCCTTTACTGGTTCTGATCTTGCCATTCTTTAAGATTGTAGCTTTATGACTAAATTCCTAGAAAAAAAAATAATTTCAACCCATAAATTAAAAAATCTGAAATAACATTCTTGAAACATGAAAAATGCTGAAAAACAGTATAGTTGAAAAGTTGTGGCTCTCTTTTTCTCTGAAAAAAAAGTTAAAGAATTTATTGCCACTATCATGAACTGTGTTATGTAAAATAAGAGGATTTATTCCATCAGAAAAAGATGTCATAGCCAATACAATTAGAATTGTATTTGCATCTTACTTCCTCCTAGCTATAACAAGGCTTTGAATAAATTAATTTGCAACAGTGAACTCAGGCGCTCACAGGAGGCAAGTCTGTGCAACAAGAAACTGCTACTCAAATGCAATCTGCCTTACCCATGTGGAACATGCACATCACAGTGAAGTTCCAGCAAAATGCAAAGATGAAACATATTTGCATAAAAATTTCCCTTAAATCAAGGGATATAATTTACATGTTTTAGGAGGAACCTGACAGTCTTATCTTATGCAAAATTAAGTATAAAAGAACCTATTGTTAATGCTCCTTTGATAATGCAAATACAGCTCAGTTCTGCAAACACAACCTCCAGAAGCACAACTTATTGTGCTTAATAACTGTTTAAAACTGAGCAAAATAAATAACTGTTAAACAACTGTTTATTACAGAGTAAGTTTTGGTTTTGTCATATTGGTCCTCATTAGATGGACAGAGCTAAACAATGCAAAAATCAGCTGTTGATAAATTCTGTTAGAACTTAGTAAGGTCACTTATCATGAATGAGATTAAATAAATAAATTAGAATAAGAGGATGATCCCCCAGCAAATATCGAACCACCTCCTACCATATCCACTGGCTTGAGGTGTCTGTAAGAATCTAAATTAAGATGATTAACTCAAATGTTTTGATGAATACTCAATCCAGTTCACAGTTTCACAGCCTAGGCCTACAGAATTCAACAACTGCATCCAGCCTGCCCAAAGCTAACCATAAGTATGGACTATGTACCAGCTGTATGTTGCCAAGTACATCTCTATAATGATGAAAAAGGAAAATTTACTGATCATCTCCTCTTTGCAATATAACAGATATTGGTTTCTGAACTTCAATCTCTATGGCACTGTCTTCCAACACATAAACGAGTGTCATTTTCATCCTAGTAAAGATCACTGACTTTTCTACACTCCGAACAGCAGTACTTCAGCAAGGGGTTACAATTCCTTAAGATCCATGTGCATCAAGCTGGTATCAAAGATAACTGTCTTGAGAAACGACAGTAAGCATATTGAACTCTTCACCCTTCAAATTAGTCATGTAGTTCAAAGGAATATTACACGTTCTTTAAAGAAAAGGCATGTCTACACACCTATCATAAGGTCCAATGTAGAGCCTTGTGACTTACACTACCTTGTTACTAACACAAGACCTCAAGAAATAACAGCTCTCAGCACAAAAGCATTCCTGAGCAGATTACAGGTGTAGAAAAAGGAGTCCTTTCTATATTAAGCGCACCTGCTGAGTTGGTTGGAGAGAACCTTTCATGTTTTTATCAATATGCTGCCCTGCAAATAACTAGCTCTCATCTAAGAATTCAGTCAATAATTCCCTCATTTGCTCAATACTCAACAAGGCCCCTGCCAGCTGCCTTGCAAATCTGCTCTGTGTTTGGAGAGACATTGACATGCTTTTCTATTAAAAAGACGTTTCTTTTTTTTTTTTTTTTTTAAATTCAAATATGGGTCATACCAGACTGTAAAATTAAAGAACCAGCTAGCACACAAGCAAGAAATTTTGCAGTATTTATGCCTATGAAACCCTTGATGTTATAATTCTTTATTTGAGGGACTTGTTTCCAGGAATCACATTAAATCACAAAACCTTTACATTCCCGCTCCTTCCTTCTGGTTCTGGCAATAGGAAACATTAACAAACTGATAACGCAAAGTTAAACACAAATTTACACATGCAATAGTCTGTGTGTTATAGCTATGGACCGATAGAAGACTTCATCAATAGCATTTTCCTTTAAAACTCATAGACACTTATCTGTAACCAACAAACAAAAACATTCAATAATGAGTGCTGAAGGTGCAGACTGAACTATGAGAACTACTGTTTCCCCATTTTAGTGTGTGGGTTTTTTTCATTATATGCTAATATTAACATTTTAATCAACAATTACCTGCAGTTTGAATTCTAAAACATTTTTTCCTGGCTTAATCCTTCCCAATTCAAGTAGATCTATCAACTGAAGCTTTCTCTTACTTTTCCGTCTATACCTCACTTGTTTTTGTTCCCACTTTTGGTTACTACAGCTCTGTGAAGATTTCTCACTGACATTTACTAGAGAATATGTATTTGAGGTAAGATTTGTAAGCACCAAGTTGGTATTAAATGAATTCTCACTACTCCAAAAGACCATTTGCTGCGAAGTATTAGGGAAGTTCTTCATAGGTGCTAAAAAATTTACTTGCTGCTGCTGCTGCTGAGAAGCTTCTTTCTTGTTTACATATCTATGTAGATTCCCATGAGTAATAACCTGCTGGCAGTCACTGGCTGGCTGACAGGCATTCTTATTCACAACAGTGCTTTGGGGTTTTACAATATTTAATGTGTCGGTCACTGAAGTGGGATTTAAAGACTTGTTTCCTTGTTCTGCAAATGCTACACGATCAATGTCTTTTTGCTGTGAGCACTTTGTTTTAGCAGCGGAAACAGTAGATTCTGAAGGCAATGTCACCACTTCTGCAGTGTCTGTCAGCTTTGACATGTTGTCAAAGTGATATTCTCTTATGCTGTTTTCAGATGCCAAAGCATGATCAGAAGCCTCTTTGCTTCTAATTGTTTCTTTATTTGCTGCTGTCTCATCCAAGCAGATGTGTGGATGCTGGCTGCATTCCTGAGCTGAAAATCTATTTTCTAAAGAGGTATGTGCTCCTACACTGTTTCCATAAGGCATGCTGGTACCAAGGCCCATACTAAATGTAACTACATTAGGACACATCATTTCATCAGCAGTTAAACTTCGTCTTACATCATTTCCATGGAAAATAACTAAGTTTGAGCTTTGCTTCTCTGAAGATGATGAACTAAACATTTCCTTTTTTTTCCTGTAATTTTGTATTTTCTGCATTAATTTTTCCTGGTTTTGGGCAAGAGTCAACAGACTCTTTTGCCTAGAAGCAAGGTTAACTAATTGTTTCCTCAGTGCTCCTTTTTTGAAAGATTCCACTGAAGTCCTATAGAAAATAAAAAGTAAAGGTGTCAGTTACTGTAAACACAAAATAAAGACAGTTTAATAGATGTAACCTACTAAGAACAGGAATATCTTTCAAAGAACTCTGCCAACACCTAAAATTTCAACAATATTTTTATCCTGTATGAAGCTTGAAGTCCGAATCACAGGCTTATGGACAAACAGGAGAACCTCACAGCAGGATGTAGAAGTAAGATACAAGTAGGAATCACAAAGAATTTGGATGCAAAGCATCAAAACTTCAGTAACAACCTTGTACTCCTATATCATCCTTAATTCGCAGAATCCAAACTGGGTCTGTATTATAACTGTCTGCTCTTTCATCACCACAAATAATAATACTTCATTGAATTCAATGCCTTTGAGGTTCTAATTTGGAGCCTTTTAAAATGAGCTCAGGATGACCTCCTGAAGGGTGATACTATCAGAATTTTTTTATGGTGTATACAAAACACTTTGTGAAGCTACACTGTACTAATGCCACATGACCATTAAGAAAAGAGAACAGAGCAGTTTAGGATTACCTGCAGGGTACCTGCAATACCCAGAAATATTTATCACTTCCCTCTGGAACAGTTTCACTCTCAGTATTAGAAAGCAAATAAATTTATGCAGCTACTAATTTTACTGCTCTTGTTTTTTAATTCAGTCACTGGTTTGTTCACAGGGATAATCTGGAACCCTAATTCCTCATAATTTTTTAAATTATCTGGTAATCTACATAAATTACAAATATATGGCAAAAATGGCTCATGGCAGAAATATTTCAGTCCCTACTCAACTGCCTGTATGTTTGCTATGGGTCTACCTGGGAGCTGTACATGCTGCTTTACATGACAACCAATCCTGCTCACACAAACAGTATGGAGACGTTCTCAGAAGCTGGCCTAGAAGCATCCATTGAACAGGATGCTATATTCTTATCATACCACATGACCAGCACTGAGGTAGTCCCTCTCATAAGGAAGAAAAAAGAAGCCTTGTGAGAGCTAGAGTCATGAAGCTGACAATTCACACAGTCCATGTTCACACTAAGGTGACCACTCCTGTGTTACATAAGTTGTCCTCACAAAACATGAATGTCTGCAAGCATGCTTCAAGCCATTTCTTTAAATGGCTCTTGTGGGCTGTTGGCTGAACACTCCTAATCTAGGAGTGCTTAAGCAACAAACCAGAGGCATGGACACTCCAAGTAGTGTCTTGAGTTGCTACTACTTTCCCCCATGATACAGCAAAATGAACGTCTTTGCTCAATACCTCCATTTCCCAACTTCTGCTTAGTTTTTTTTTCCACACCTTTTGTGTGTTCTCTACCTAATTTCAATGCTCACTGTGCACACAGCAACTGATTTGCATGCACTAGCTCAACCCTGAAGTTCTTCCTTGATGTAAATGCTTACTGGAGGTAACTGAAGCCAGTATGGATCATGGTCCCTCAAAATCTGAATGAAAACCACATGCCACCGTATGCTAGTCTCCAAAAAAACTTCTATCACTACTTCTATGAAGAATAGCTTCCTATGAATGTAATCTCTCTATTATACTTACCTGTATTTTTTAGCAAGGGCATCCCTCTCTGTTTTCTGGTTTGCAAGCATTTCATTCAAAGCATCTTGTATCTGAGACAGCCTTTGTATATATACATCTGTTCAATATTTTGAAATAATCAAAATTACGATGGCAATAAGGAGCAGAAAAAAACTACAGTAATATTTTAATGTAGCAAATACACAGCCAAAGTACGAAGATACAGTTAGAGTATCTTCAGATACTGTCATACATACTGATAGGTCTTTACAACTGGATTACTTTTAATGAAATTCTTCAGAACTAAATGCAAGCTTAACTTAAAGAAAATAGTTTGCACTGGAAAATTTTGAAGTGTACATACTTTGTCTAGGAAATTACTAGGAGAAATGGATAAAGAACTGCCCTACGTATGATAAGCACTGAAAATTTTGAAGTTCTTTTTGTTGCAAGGAGCTACCTACCATGACAATAATACTGAGGATACCTGCAGAAGTTACACCGTCTTAAGCAGGTGCATAAAACTTCTATGACTGAAGTATTATAAAACAGTTTAATGAACCAAGACTCTTCCAAGTTCCATATAGTGGTAAAAGCATATCTATCAAGTTTTCATAGTTTCAAACCCGTATTTTAAAACAGAATGATAAACTGTCCCTTTGTGCTAGTTTTATTCTTTTAAATTAAGAAGAGCAAATATAAACTCCTCTTTAGACATATAACATAAGGGAGGGCTAAAGTCACGACCAGTGGATACCGCTGGGATAATTTGCTAAACCATGTTGAAAGTCTACAACAGTCAACAGGAGCTTTTCTTAATCATGAAAAACAGGAAATAGGATTAAAATTAGCATTTGTAAAATCCAAACTGGTTTTACAGCATCTACCAGACATTTACTTACTCAGTAATACTTACATACTGCTCTTATTAAGGCAGCTTAGTGAATTTGAATCTGTTATTTACAGTAGGTTTCATGCACACAAATACCTTGAGATTTTATTCTATGGTTTAAGTTTGTCAATGTACTTCCATGTTCTTGTTCAGTCTTGTGCCTCTTCAGTAGTAATGATTATGACTTAGTTTGAGACGTGCTATATTATTAATGCTTTTGCCAGTAGTGGTAACATAGCATCATATTCATTTCTCTAATACTCCTAAACAGGAGAATTCTGATAATTATTTTCACTCTTTTTATGAAATTACACTTATCTCTGTCCATAGGCTCCTGTTTATACTATCAACTACAATAGCTCCTGAATATTTTGTCCTACCTGCTTAGCCAAACATTTTTCAAGAAAACATACCTATTGCAATTAAAAGTTCTTACATCACAAATTTGCTAAACTATAAATTTGCATATTTCCATATTTCACATTTATTTTTAAAGGGAAAAATTTACTTGTACATATAATTTGAAAGCTCCACCCTATATTCAGGAAAATAAATTTAAAACCAATTTCTTTCTTTCTGTCAGGAATCCAAACTGTTCCACGGGCATGAGCTTCTCCAAAGTGAACAGCCCCGCCTAGATGGTAAAGGTCCTGGGGAGAGAGGCCTTTGTCAAAGGCATTCCTGCAGCAAGATATGCCACTTGCAGAGTCACAGCACAGACACAACAAGACTCCAACTGCTTCACAGCAGCAGCATCATGATCTCCTAGGAAGTCATTGTCACTTGGTAAATTCTTGAGATTAATCTGAACTGAGATTTGATAGCCTAAGACAAATTACATCTATTGGGCATCAGCATTTCTGAAACTGTCAATCATCCACAGTGCCTGCCTTAAAGAATTCTCCTTCTTCTCTCATAAATTATTCCCAGGCTCCTGGAAGTCCAGCCTCAGTAGAATGAAAATGCTGTATTTGCTACTTTACAGACACAGATGTTCTTGATCGTGGAGAGGCTCATGTACTTGTACCTGAACAATGCTGCCAACAGTGGGCATTCTTATCTAATGATCCCTTTTCATATAATCAGTTGACTTGAGAGCTGTGCCTCCAAGTGGCATGCTTATCTTTTTTGTCACATTATTCATTCCTATGTTAACTGGAAGTACTTCAGGAAGTGCACTTACCTGAGAGATGCTATTAAAATCTTATTCTCTGAAGATGTATTTTCCAGAGGAGATAATCAGAATATATTACATGCAATAACATTAAAAACAATTATATTACCAAAGATATTTACCCTCTAAAAATAGGTAAAATATTTTAATTTATGTCTACCTGCATCTTTGGAAGTTCTCAGTTCATATAGCAACAGTTCTTTCTGCTTCTTTTCTGTATCTTGTATGGCAGCAATAGACTCCTGTTAAAAAACACAAGATGACATTAAGAAGCAGAGGCAAGTGCACCGCAAAAACAGGCCATGATTCAGGGCCCACAGTTTAAGTATTGGTGGACTCAAGCTATTCCAGGCAGAGAATTACTATGTAAAGATGTTGGGGCACTGGTAGGACAGACACACAATCTGCCAAGGGCTTGCTCTGCAAGGGGTTGTTACAGTCTGGTTTTACCCAGGCATTCAAACTAGTTCATACTCAGAGACCCACCTCTGAGCACAGTGCAAGGACACAACTGTCACATTTACCAGTGGATTTCAGCACGACAGCATCACCTAGGCAATGCAGATAGAGCCTGCAGACACTAGCAAGAGCTCTCCTAACAATCTGTGCAAAAATCTTCCTGGTTGTTTTACATTAAGATAAACAATTTCTAAATACCTTCATCATGAAGCCAATTCATTACTGTTTCAAAAAGAACCATTTTGGAAACATGATGAAAAGCCTCAGGACTCATGACATTTTTTCTCATCATACAACCAGTAAAAATCATAAGTATTGAATACTGTTTGCACAATAAATGTAAGTGCACAAGAACCATTAACAGAAGGAGGTGATAGTAAGCACATTTATAGACATAAAACACAACCTACCTACTATAAACCTTTGCATGATTCTGCTTTTACATTCATTCTAATGGATTAATTATTTACAATATATTTTTTATATTATTCAGTCAGCAAATGTTACTATGCACTACCACACTAGGAAGTAGTTTAACAAAACTCTGTTATCTATACTCACCACACTGTATTTCTCATGTTGTGGCTCCGAAGCTGCATCATCATTTTTACAGTCGTCGAAGCAATGATGTTGTGACCTCCTCTCTCCACAATTCAGGAAAAAATAAATAAAATTTAACATGAATTTGCAGAAGCATAAGAGGTTACAAAGATACAATGGTAGATCAAATAATAAAAAATATCTTGTATATAAAAATGAGATCAAATTTAGGTAGCATAAGGAAATAAGTCCTGAAAGCTAACACTTTCAAAACTACTCATTTCCCTTCCTGTGAAGGGAAATATGAATAACAACAAAATTTGAACACCTGAATATGTTCTTATACCTCATTCTCTCAAAAAACCCAAACCTCCATAATGTATCCTATTCTCTGTGAATTAATTAATATAATTCAATAGTTATTAGAGTTAAAAATATCAGTGCCAGGCAATATGCAGCTCCACAAATCAGCACTGTTTGAACGTACATTTTTTTCTTAAGATTATGGGGTAATACTATAATTTACATTACAAAGTCAACATACCAGTAATTTCAATAGCCGGAACAGGAAGTACAGAGTCCACAGCACCGTAAGACCTCAGAAGTTCTTTCATTTCTTCATCACAAGCTTGATCCACAGCACTTTTCCCTTCTCTGTTCCTCTCAAAGAGATTCGCTCCATGCTGAAGTAGAATCCTGACTGCCTATTATGTATTTTTATTATTTGTAGTGTGCTAATTCTTACTGTGGACTTATGATACAACTATCTGTGTTGTATCTAACACATATCACAAATAATATATATATAAATAAGATATTCCAAAACCTGTTACACTTGCAATCCAAATTAAACAAACCAGATTAACTGGCTATTATCACTACAGACTTCCATCTTACATTTCTAATTTTTCCATTAAAACACACAAATGATTCACAAATTGTCATTAAACCTATCACTTTTATAGTATTGTCATATAAGGCAATTAAAAAACATCATGTATCTAAATTAATAGGAGCTGGTCAATTGAATTAAAACCAAAATGAAGAAAAGAAGTAGATTTTTTTTCTTTAATAGTGGTTTTGGTTTTCTGGTTACATGAACTGATAATTTTTTTCCAAATAACTTGCAAGTCTGCTTAATTATACAATGTGGAAATGAGATTAGTGGCATCAGTGGAATCATCTATCCCCTAAAACTCAGATCATATGAATGTGCTGATGAAGTCAAAGCTCGGATGCTAAAGAATTTCAATATGTAGGATTTCCCAATTTTAGCATTTCTTCTTATTTCTTACACTTATTTCTTACATTTAGAGTGCAGTTAAGTATGATAAAGTATCAGAAGAAGATCAGAAGCTTCTCTTGAAGTTCAAAATGTTCTCCATTGGTTTTCCCTTGCAATATCGCACAATAAGCTTACACATTTGTAAGAACCCTAATGATAGTTTGGCACCAGGCCTGTGAATCACCCCCTTTGTTTGATCGTTGTTCAAGGAAAAAGATAAATGTGATGAAACATGAGTTCCTCTGACAGAAATAGAAGTAGTATGTAGAGCCAATCTGGAGTCATCTTCTTTACACTCAGTTCACCAGAACTCACTCTGCCAAAAGAACACTATTTATTTATGTGCAGAGCTGGGTCCCACAGTTTAAGAATGATGTGAAGGTCCTTGAATGTGCCTGGAGGAGGGCAACAAGACTGATGAGAGGGCTGGAAGCCACGTCCTGCAAGGAGCCAGTGAGGACTTTGGGCTTATCTAGTTTGGAGAAAAGGAGGCTGAGGGACAACCTGAAGCTACAGCTTCCTGAGTAGGGGAAGTGGAGAATGAGGTGCCCATTTCTTCTCTCTGGGACCCAGTGATAGGATGTGTGGGAATGGTTCAAACCTGTGCTAGGGCATGTTTAAAAGGGACACTAGGAAACATTTCTTTACTTTGAAAGATGGTCAAACACTAGAATGGGCTTCCTGGAGAGGTGATCAATGGCCCAAGACTGGGGCATTTGGACAATGCCCTCAACAACATGCTCTGACTTCTGGTCAGCCCCAAAGAGATCAGGCACTTGGACTAGACGATCACGTAAGTCCCTTCCAACTGAAATAGTCTATTCTATAGAACCATTTTTAAACAGCAGGCCTAGGGTCTTTACAAAAAAGAAATTTTTTACAGTGGAGGCGGTGAGACACTGAAACAGGTTGCCCAAAGAAGCTGTGGATACCCCATTCCTAGAAATGTTCAAAGTCAGGTAGGACAGGGCTTTGGGCAAGCTGAGCTAGTAAAAACTGTTCCTGGCCATGGCAGGGGTCTTTGTGGCCATGTGCTCCTCTGCTTGAGCCATAACCACCAGGGGTAGCTGTGATGGTTGCACACAGCTTACCCGGACTTTGGGTGATGAATGGCAATAAGGTAGCCAAAGACTGACTGGAACAGTGACCCAGGTGTCTTGCTGGTATGCAAATATGACTGTAAGTAAATCATCTTACTTCATAAATAGTGGACAGTTCTGGGCTCTTCAAGGTCTCCTGTACAGCAGTGGTCTGCACACCAGGATCTCCCCTTGAGTAAGGACATCTCTAAAGGTTGCTCCTCAAGACTGAGAGATTCCTTGCCACAACAGATCCTCAGTAATTAACTGCATGCTAAACTTTGAAATCTTAGCTAAGTGATAGAAAGGATTGATTACACACACATAACTCTTTAGATATAAACTGCTGACTGAGTCTGGGACCAGGTTTGGATCTAGTCATCTGAGATGGAGTTTAGAAAGCAAGGGGGTCCTTTCTGGACATCATGACTCAACAGGAGGGTCCCCCTTCTGGTTCTGTTCTGTCCTCTATGCAGTAAATAATCAATGCATCTTGCCTCAAATCTTGTTAAACAACTGTCACATTTATCAGAGAACTTTGCTAACTCACTCTTTTCTATCAATAAAGTATATTGTTGCTTCTCTCTGATGTGTGAAATGCATCACTCTCACCTGCAGCAGGGTTGGACTAGACAGTCAAACTGAGAATGCTCAATTTTAGTATTAAAAAGCCCAAACCTGGGAGAAAAACAAAGGAAGTTTCTGAATTTTTATGATCTGTCTGCTGTACTAAAAAAGGCAACTAACTGGCACTATTGAAAAATACTTCTTTCTTTAATTTAGATCACTTTAAAGAATCCTACTTTATTTCCTAAATGCAAATCTACACTTAATGAAATGAGGATTTTGCTCTGCTGACCTTCTGCTGGAAATCAGCTTCAGAAAATCTTACAAGAAAGAAAAATGTACCTCCAAATAATTGCCAGAAACAGCATCGTGTATTGGTAAAACACCATCCAGACTTCTGCTGTTGACATCAGCACCTGCCTTCAGTAATTCTAAGATGACATCAGTAAATCCCCCATTGGAAGCTTCATGAATTGCTGTCCAACCTAACAAAGGCAAGGCGACACATACAGCATGCATCATACATCTGATTTGGAAAGATCCACACAGATCACTTATTATTGATTATACATTTTGCTGCATTTAAGATAAATCTTATACAAATAACCATCTTGAAATGCCAAGGTCAAATATTTTCTATCTAATTCAGTTTACCTCAGAAAAATGTATCCAGTACTAAGCAGAAAATATACTGCTTTCTTTTCTACTACAGTACTAAAAATAACAAAAGAAACAAAACACTGGAGTAGAAAAGTTCTAAAAATTCAGAAGCACAACATTAATAGTCTGATTTCTAATCTCAGTAGCATTTTATAATATTGTCTGCCAGGCATCAAGAATAGGATATGATGGGTTTTGAGAGTATGAAAACAGAAATATGTTATACATTCAGGCAGAGAAAAAAGAAAAGATAATCTTGTCATCTGGTTTTTGTCCTTACTTCTTAAAGGAATAAGATCTGTCTGAATGTGCTTCACACACATTCATACACATGTACATGAGAATTATTTCTCTCACCAAACTTTCAAGTTCACTTTCTCTACACATTTCTGAAAATGTGTTCTTCAGCAGAGAAGCAAGACCCTATTAACATGGCTGCTGAGAAAAAGTCTGCATTACTTCCATGCTGAGACACAAAATCCAGGTATTCAATGATTGTGCTTGCACTTGTTTATTGAATTCCTTTCCTCCTTACATTTTAAAATTGAGAATCCATATTTATACTACAAATTATGTAAAAATGTATCATAAAAAGCCCATAAGAGAGTAATTTTCAAACCCGCATGATCCTGTTCATTGACACAAATTCCAGATGATATTAGAGTCTTCACCAAGGATAAATCTCCTCTCTTAGCAGCAATATGCAGCTGAGTTTCCCCTTTTTCATTTCTCTTGATTTTCTTCTTTCCCTCAGTTCTTGAATTACAGGTAGCAGGTACAATTACAACTTCTTTTCTGGTAGATTCTAACGGTATATTGGGTGTTCCTTAGGAAATTTTTTCACAAAGAATGTTTAATTATAAACAGAAAATTAAGCTTCATAACTCATTTGAATTACTGTAAATGTGTGGAATACTGTTGCTTTAATTATTCAATAACATTAACTAACTACATCAAAAGGTTAGAAGGTAGTGTGTAAGAGCTCAGATAACAAACAGACCCTAAACAAAAAAAGTTAAAGTTCAAACCTAGATGATTTAACAAGGGTACAACAAATGCGGGATGAAACAAAAGGTAACAAGGTTTAAGTTCTATACTCTGTAGAGGTAGTCTCCATGGACTGCTTTCACGCTGCCAGGCATGCCTGCTAAATACAGAAACTACACACATAATTGTATTTAAGAAACTATATTAAACTATATCAGTAACTAATTCTATATCAGGGAAAAGACAGATACGTGTGTATACATATATATATATATATATACACACACACACACACATACATATAAGTATACATACAGGTAGGTGAATATGTACCTATATATCTATATATATCTATAAATATCTATAAATACATAAGGTATTTTTACAGCTCTGATGCGAAAAAGTCCTGTTGGCTGATTACAAATTTTTGATTAATGTTCACTGGCATAGATAAACTGTCTTTTAATTAAACCTGTGCGGGATTGGACCCATAATTGTAAATAAACTTGATTTAATCCTTACTGGTTCACAGAGCAAAAAGCACTCACTTTAAATGTTATCATGTGAGCATCAGACAGTTTCTAATACTGAAGCTTCGAATTCTAATTCTGAAGCTAATTCAAATTGTAAGAAACACAAAGAAAAAAACAGATTAACGAAGTACTGATTATGCATGTAGAGTAAGGACAACTCCCTCCTCAAACTGCTACCAAAAAGACAGGATATATGAATCTTCAAAGGCTCTAACATGCATGTTAGCTTTTTAAAAACTCCTGTACTTTCTATGATAATAACACGCTATCAATATTTTCTTAAAAATTCACAGTGTTTTTTCTCTGTTTTCTTGAAAATCTGTAATTCATTCAAAAAACCTGAAAGAGTAAGGTTCAAAATGCGCAGCCAGACTATGGTAGCATAGAGCTCACTGTAGGCTTTTAAACCTGTCAGAAAGCATTCAGGTAGCCCTCTTTGCACTGAGGGTGCTTGGCCCACCCAGTATTGGCAACTAGAAAAGCTCAGGAGTTCATTTTTTAAATGAAAACTGAGATTCTAGAGCACACAGAGCCATCACGTTATTAAAATGCTTCCCCAATTTGAGACCTACTTTTCCATAAGATAATGTATTGTGTTTTGCCTAAAAGCTTCTGGGTCTGAACTCCCAAAGCAATCATCTGCTTTCTGGTTCTTCCTTTTCTTTCCCTCTGATTCATGGGAGAATGTCCTAGGGACTGTTTAGAGACATCTAAGAAAAAAAAGGCACACAACAGCCCATTAAGCTAATGACCCTTAGCAATATTGGTGGCCAGTGAATAGAAATAATTGCAGAGTTTTCCAGTTAAATTGCCATGCACAACAGTTTGCTTCACGGCTGTTAGGAAACATTTGCAAAAGCATAATGGGAGATTGGTATGTGAATCAAAATACTGGTTCTCTGTGGGATGCACTGCCAGGTGGGTCATGAGCAGGAAAGATCCAGATCTCGGCAAACACAAAGTCCACTCAGCGTAGTACAAAGAAAAAATGAAGAGATTACAGTAATCAGCAATCAGTTTAGATAAGGCTGACAAACTTCAACAACTTCAAGGACACTGTGCTTAAAAAAGACATTTGAATACCTCAACATTGATCTAAGAGCAATTATTTCCACAGGTTGAACTGTAAGAAAAGAAGCTAGCTGTTTGAACCTTCCGTGTAAGCACATTAGGAATGTCGGGGGCCTAATAAGTGACTGACTACAGATGACAGTAACTCTGCGTCATTTCAGAAGAAAAATTTTTATTCAAGAATAGAATAATACAAGGAAGAGCAGTGGGAGGTAGGAACAATCAGAAGACATACAAAGGCCAGTTAATGAAAGAAAGGCGTAAGAGAGTAAAAAATCAGAAAATTCCACAAATAAGAAAACATTATCCCATCTTCCTTTTTTTTCTACTGCAATCTGAATGTCACTGTCCCAGACCCCAAACTTATTAAGGCCTCCAACTGTACAAAGGGCTATACCTTCTTGCACCACCTCTCAAATGGCAACCCTCTCCTGGTATGAAGGGAATAATTAAATTTTATATGAATAAAATATTACCCAATGAATCTATTTTGAGTTAAAAATGCAGCCTGGGAAATGCTATCCCAGTGGAGACCAAAATATAAGACATACGTTTGGAATAAAGTTTTTTAAATCATAATTGTATATATAGGAGGCAAAAAATTGAAATAAAAAAACCAAAAAATGTATTAATGCACATAGACCTTACTATTAGGGTTCAGCAGGAATATAGGAGCTACAAAAAGACCATCTATAGAAAAAGGAAACATTTCTACATTAAGTGTTTATTCTTCCAGTAATTAGCAGTGGATGATGACATGTATTAGATATGCCATGGATTTTTTTTCCAGCATGATTTAAAAAGGCATTCCTACAACAGGAAAAACAAAATTTAGAAATAGGAAAGATAAGCACTGACACTGCCAAGAACTGGAAAGCAGTAAGTAACAAGAAGCACCTACTCCTTTCCTTCTCCCTTCAGCTTCCAAAGGAGAACACACACTTGCAGACCAGCAACTCAAGAGAGCAGGGACTTAAGAAGGGTTGAAAACAAGCAACCACCTAAGACAGGAAGAGGGAAGCGTGTTCTGTACTGCTGAAGGTAGAAGCCAAGAAGACTCTGACTATCATAGGGAAAAGGATCAGCAGGAACTGCAAACAGTTTCTCGAGTGCTTTTTGTCATACGTAACAGGACACTGCAGAGATTGGCTGATGGCTTCTTTATTTTTAAGACTAGTGAGCATCCAGACCAAACAAAAATCTCCGAACAGAAGGAGAGTACTCATCAAACAGAAGTAAAAAATGTGCATGTTGATGGTATGTGAGCAGATGTATTTGTCTGTTTTTTTTGTCTGTAGATATATTGTGTGTGCATTTACGGAGGGTGGGTGTATATTTGTTATATTATTACACATCCATGCTGTTATATACACTGGTTTTAAAGAATTTAATGCACATAGAAGCATGAATCCCACTGACTTTCAAAATATACTTGATGCTAGCATTCATTTACATCTGACTCAAAGGCAACCAAGGTTTGACCAATAAACTCCAGCAACACATAATCGCAGTTCAAAGGAAAAAAACTTAAATTTTTTGCTCCACACACTTGAAAAAAAATTAAATGTTATATTTACACACATATGCATTCACACATGCTTCTATAAACCTATATATACACCTATAAATGCCACCTTTTCCTACGTATTTGTATGCATACAATTATACTAACATAGTAGTTATTTGAAAGAGAAATTTTTAAAGAGCTGAAAACAGTTATAAATAAAAAAAATTGAAGAAAAAATGTCAGCAGAAAAATATTAATAACAGCTAGGAATTATTTCACAACATATCTCACATTCAAGATGAAAAGCTGCAGTGATTCAAAAACTAACATAGCTTAGAAAGAACAACAAAAAATGAGAAATTAAAAAATTGGAAACTAATGGCAACAAGTATAAATAAGGAGTTGCAAAAAACGGATGTGGAAAACAAAAGAACACAAGGAAATAGTCACAGACAGCTGAAGTCCTAAGAATGTGCAATTTTAAAAACCTATCAAAACCAGAAAAAACAATTTCTAAACTTTTATTTGAAAGACAGAAGGAAGCCTAAATTGAAATCATAGTTTACTTTACATATAGAACATGCTGTTATATATGTATAACTTTTCTACAATACTGTGTGTAAAAGTACTTACATATTTAGCTTTCTCGAAAAATTATCAAGTAGTCAGGGTTTTATTTGAATCTAAAACATATCAACATATAATATTTATAAAAATACTGGAGTCAAACCTTTGTTGCAAACAGCACCTTCTACAAACCAGAAATGGTGAGAGTAAAGACTGACATTGTACTTACAAGTTTTCTTGAAGATTAGTGACCTAAGTGATTCTGTTTGAAATGTAAGAGGAATCCCTGGCTCCTCTCTGTTGGACTTCACGTGTGATTCAGAGTGCCCAAGAAGTCTCCGAGCAGCAGGCTGAGGGCCCTCACCAGCACCCCATCCATCTAACTTGCACGTGTCACCCAATGGCTTGTCATGGGCAAGTCCTATGGTGTCCCAGTCCTCCTTCAAGTACAGTTTTGAGCTCTGTCAATGAGCCCCACTAGCTTAAGAGTAAAGACTCTCTTCCTTCTCTGAGAAAGGTGAATGCCATCTGACACCAGCAGGCCTGGTGACATGTAAACCATCCCATTATTGAAAAACCCAGAATTGTGGTAGTGACACCAGCTATGCAGCCACGTATTAATAGACTGGGTTTTGTCTGTTTCTTCCAGTGTCGCTGCTCACAAATGCAAGGAGAGAGGGAAACAATTATCTGTGCATTGAATTCCCCTACCAACTATCCCAAGGCCCTGAGGTCTCTTTTGATTCTCCGTGGACCACGCATTGTGGCTTTACTGCCATCCACATGGAAAAGCAATAATGGATAACCGTCCAAGGGATGGGGACTCCTTCAAGACTTAAACATGCCACAGCTTACACTGGCCAATGGGTGTCCAACGGTCTTAATTCTAGCTCTAATCTTGTGGCCCATCTTTGTACTTCTGATCCATCAGCCTTTTCTGAACCTTCTTCTCAAGTACTGTACAAGACCCAACTTCTTCCTTATCCATAATCACTAACTCTAATTCAAATCATCTCTTTACAATCTCACTAGCTGTTATCTACACCCAGCCCAAACAGCAGCAGTTAAAGCTTGGCAACTCCTAAGTTCTAGATCTAATCCTAGATTCACCATTTTTTATCTTATGGATCCTTCAAAATTCAGATTGTATGCCAGTTTATCCCTAGCTCTAAACTATACCTCACCCATCAGCAAATCAAGCTGTGTCCCATCTTCCATTTAGACTGACAGCGACTATTGTGCTTCATATCTTCATTTCAAATTTAAAGGTAACTCCAGCCCAAGAAACAGCTGGGCATCATTATCATTTATACTTTGTCAATGTACAGCAACGTGGAAGGTAAGGAGTGCTCACTGGTACTCAGGCATCAGATAGTGAAGCCCATATAATTACTAGCAGTAATTAGGGAAATACAGTTTAACAGAATTTCTCCATTTAGTGATGATGCAACAACAGAATAATTTTTTCTTACCTGATACTGAATATCCCCTGGATTTTTCTATATAAGTTGTAAGAAGTTTCCTCATAGATGGGTCAGAAGCTTCTTCTAATGCACACCTTCCCATGTTATTTTTTAATAAGGGATCAGCTCCATACCAAAGTAGTAAGTTCACTATCTAGAAAATAAGTTTTTCATATTGTTTCTCTTCTGGCAGTATCTTCCATACTCCTTATACAGGCTTCTCTGTCTTGTACTTGACAACATGAGCAACTAAAATGAAATTTCTCTATATTCTAGTTCAAATACCCTAAGCATTTCCCTAGATACAGCATTATCCTATAATCTTATTATTTTCATTTTTATAAATTGTTCCAGTTGCCTTTAAGATAAGGTCTCCCAAAATACAGGGTAAGATTCATGTCCCCATAGCTCTTAACTGGTAGAAAATAACAGGGTATGAGCCAGCTTATCCATTTAGGACATCACAGAACACACAGATTTGGAAAGATCCACAAGGACTGAGTCAAACCCTTAGGCCTGCACAGGACCATTCCCAAGACTCATACAATGTGCCTGAGAGTATCATCCAAATGCTTCTTGAACTCTGTCAGGCTTGGTGCTGTGACCACTTCCCTGGGGAGCCTGTTCCAGTGCCCAATCACCCTCTGAGTGAAGAACCTTTTTCTAATATCCAACCTAAACCTCCCCTGAAACAACTTCAGGCTCCTGTCACTGGTCACCAGAGTGAAGAGATCAGTGCCTGCCTCTCCTCTTCCCCTCACAAGGAAGTTGTAGACTGCAATGAGGCCTCCCGTCAGTTTCCTCTTCTCCAGGCTAAGCAAGCCAAGTGACCTCAGCTGCTCCTCACAAGCTTCCTCTCAAGGTCCTTCACCATCTCCTTTGGACACCCTCTAATAGCTCAAATCTTTCTTATTTTGTGGTGTCCAAAACTACATACTCAAGGTGAGAATGCCCCAGTGCAGAGCAGAGTGGGACAATCCCCTCCCTTGACCAGCAGGTTATGCTTTGCCTGATGCCTCCAGGACATGGTTGCCCTTCCTGGCTGCCAGAGCACTGCTGCTATCTACTTTAAGACAAAAGAAATGTGTTGATTGTGACTCCTGTGACTGCAAAGGGGAGTTTTGACAGCTATTTCAGATATGCAAGATATATCTGATCCAAACCCATTCTGATGGTCTTACTAATGTTATGAATTTTGTACAAATATAAAGCTTGATTCTGATCTTATTCAAGAAATGACCTTTCTAGCAAAATGTTCAGCCAAACTTTACAGGACACTTTTTCAAGAGATGGGAAATGTACAATCTGATTATTTCATTGCTGTGGGTAACCCTGCAATCTTATTCCATCACTAGTGTGATTTTACTTGTACCTCTGCTGTTGTTCCTTCAGCACATTATAATTTCAGACTGAACTTGACTCACATCCTCTACCCAAGTGTCCAAGTCCCTCACTATTTCTAACCAGATTGCTAATGAGAAAATTGTTAGTGAAGTTTTCTCAATTCATACATTCTCCTAACAACAGAGTAAAATATAAGGGTTCAATCAAGAACAAAAGTCCTCTTGGGTTTCGTAAGTTGTCCTAAACCTTTGGATTTTTTCAACCAGTAAGGTTGACAACTCTTCTTCCACAACTGTGATCATACACACTTGTATGCTCTCTCCCTTAACTGTACTAAAAAATTTTTCCTATACTTACCATTTTTCCTGAAATAAATTAATTTGGCATATTGCAGGTGCAGAAAGGGATAAAGTAGTAGATAAAAGGCCTGTTTCCAATCTATAATAATTTCATGTAGCTGTGAAAAAAACAGCTTCAAATACCATGTTACCAAAAGTCTGAATCACCATCACTGAATCACTATCACTATTTTGCTGCTAGTCAGAAACAACAAAAATAAGTCTAAGAGATCACTGCAGCAAGACAATTTTACTGATACTGAGTAAACAGAGACTGAGTAAATACAGCACCACCAGGTCGTACCATTCCTGCTGGACATACCAGCTTGCATAACTCTTAGCTCTGTGCTGAATGATCTTGGTGTGCCTTGAGTGACCTAGGTGAGATGACTGTTCTTCCAATATCATTCTAGTCAATGGTCCCTAAATATTACTTGCAGAGATACAGAGTTCTTCATGCACACCCATGGACATGGTGTGTTAGATACAGTCATAGAACTCAGAAATATGTCGTGAACCCGCAATAGTCTGTAATGCACAAGCTGAAAACCATTCCTGGGGCTCTCAAGTCTCAGAAAAAATTATTAGCCAGAAGTCCACCCTTCCTCATTGCTCCTGGGAGATTTGTGAGGAAATGCAATAAATCTCATCTCAGTTGTGAAAAAGGGCAAATATTTAGGGACAAAACTTATTACACCCCACAAAAAACCACTTAGAATATCTTGGAAATCAGTAACTTAGGCAGCATATGTGCACTTCTAGAGAAAGAAACTACAAGCAGATAAAGGGACACATAGAAATCCTACATACATTTGGGTCACCCTAGAAATATGCACTGGCATGAGAGGTGGAGGCAAGCACTGCCAGACTGAAAGAGGATCCATAATTCAGACATAGGTTTACGAAACCACAGCATTTGGCAACAAATCTTGCTATTATTTCATATTCACTGTTGAGTTAACTTTCAGTTTTAAAGCCATACAAAATATAAAGCTGTGTCTTCATAACCCTCCATGCTACATGTTAATACAGGGTATGCATGCTTGTGGCAGCATGCCATACATGCGGGATTATAAAATCATGTATTAAACAGTAGTAATCTATTCCTCAGTGGTACATTGTCTCCAGCAGTTAGAAGAACAATTCGCTTATTCTTTGGGAAAAATCCTGTTAAGCAGGGAACGGTTTGAACAGAAATCAGGCAGGAAGGACTTGCAAGCTCCTGAATTTGCCTATAATCTGAAAAGAACAGTCATATGCAAAAACATAATGTGACCTTCTAGACTCAACAACAATAATTTGTATTCCTAAATCACAATTTGTGTTCAATTTGGAATATACCTCATAATGGCCTTCTTTAACTGCATCTTGCAACGGTGTTACCTGTTCCTTTCGTGTAGCATTAACATCAGCACCTGCTTTCAAAAGCAGATTTGCTATGCCATAAAAGCCTTCCACACTTGCTATATGTAGTGCAGTCAAGCCTATGAAAAAGAAAAGCATGTATTTCACATTTGGATGAAAAAAATTCTGAAAATTTATGTCAGTTTTAGGTTGCCTATTTGATAAAAATTTCACAGAGTGTACTGAAAAGGTAAAAAACGATGCATTACAGTAAGATACACAAAGAAATGTTTAGGAAAAAGTCACAAGGATTGGGAGATCTCATGCTTTTGATAAAATTTGCACCTATTGAAGAAGCAGTCGTTGCTGTAACAACATTAGTTTTAGATTTGGTGGTTCTGTTATGAAATAAGAGAATTATTTGACCCATATCTTGGTAATATCTCCTGGAACAAAATGTATATGCTTTTTTAAGAACAACGTAGTTTTTCATGGCACTCTTATTTACATAGCTGTGCTGAAGAAGGTTAGTAAGAAAGAAGTTACTAAAATAAAGATGTGAACTATTACCAAACAAAAATGTTTTTTAAGACTACCCAAGAATGATTTGAGTGTCCAAATAAATTAAAATTCCCTACTGAAATTCCATCTTCATTTCCAGTTGTATAAACCAAGATATGAGCTTCACAATAGAATTTTACTCTATGAAAGAGGTGTTGAGGAAAAACATGAAATATAAGTCTTTGAACTGAGTTTAGCATAGCCATGCATCAGCTTCTTAAACATACAGGGTGAGAGAAATAAGGGAAAAACAGAGAGGATTTTCCACTTTCTATCTTCCAACTTTCAAATCAACATGCCCTCCAGAAGACCATTTTGATCAACAGTCTTACTCTTCAACAATCTACCATTATTAGAAGGTTGTTGGGGCCTAATTCATATACTAAATATGTGAATTAATACAGCTTAATAGAAGCTTTTTGCCACCATTAAGCAAAATTATCTTAATTTCATTGGAGAGAGAAACTCTCGAGGCTCTCTTCTACATAGTTGAACCTGGAATATCCCATATTCCTATGAATTTTGTTTATTATGAAATCTGTTAAGAGGAGAATAAATAGGTTTGCTTAGGGGAATATATTAATTTCTCCCTCAGTAAAATGTATCCTCTATCTGGTACAATAATAAGGCCCCGAAAACCTGCACCTACAACACATTCAATTAATAGTTCTTAGGGATTAGCGATATCAGGCAAGGATGCTATGCAGGCTCCAGATCAAGAAGAAACACAAGTTTTACTGCAGCTGTTTTTCAGATCCCTTGAAACACTGTAAATCAAGAGTCAAACTGAGAGCAAAAACTGGCATCTCTAACATGCTGCTCTTATCCTACAGGCTAATGTCCAGGAAATAAAAAGGAGAAAAAAAAACCCCAAACCAAGCAAGAGAAGATCCCAAGAACTCAGCAAAGTATTGAAGCAGAATATTGTAGCACAGGAATAATAAATACAAGGCTAAAATACAGATAATCACTGGTGGGAGGCTTTAAAGGAAGAGAAGAGGTCCAGAGGCAGAATATAATTCAGAACAATGACTACCAAAGAGATCAAGATGAAAGTGCATGTGAAAATGGCACAGGTCCGGTAACTACTTTTTTCTGACTATATCTGCCTCATTTAAAAAAAAAAAAAAAAAGAAGCAGGGTCGGGTTAACCTCTCATCTCTTCAAGGAGTACAACTAAAAGATACTGGGTGCAGCTGTGCTGTTTTTGCACCAAAAACCAGCAACCAGAGTCTGGGGAATGAAGAAACCATGGCAAAACATGCAAAGGCAGAAAAAGGAAGCAGCTGTGACAGCAAAAACTAGAACCAGTGCACTTTGGTGTACTGTGGCTGCACTATCAGCACTTCTCTGTCGCCAGCATGGGGCTTTGAACCCCACCAACAAAATATTTTCTCACCTGCCTCTAGCACAAGTGAATACATATTATGAGTCTCTCTGTTAGCTCAAACATCTGCACTGTAAAAGTCTGAAATCCACTGCTGACCCAATCTATTTCCCAGTATATTCCAGAAGACAGACAATTTTTAACTTAGTTTTGAACTGTTATGTGCCTGCATTATGCAATAGCCTGTAACTGCAGAATGTGGGTTTTCTTCCTTTCCCACGGAACTGTTGTGAAACCCTAGCCACTAGCATGGTATAGAAACACTCTAAGAATTAATCAAAGTTTTCTACCAAATGAGCCACTTGTCTGAAACAACTTTTCTTTTGTTGTGGAGGTTTATCAGATACTAAGGGAGGAGACAGGGAAGTGCAAACAAGAAACAGTCGAATATTTGAAGAAACCAAGTGATACTAAAGGTGCAAAGCCTTTGACACATAGTATCACACATGGATCACACTGGATAAGGTGAATTGCTTCACAAAAAACATTAACAGCTGGCCACTATTTGTCATTCCTTTTTTTTCATGCCCAAGATGAAAGAAAAATGGAAAATACCAAGTAGTCACAACTTTACAAAGTTAGAACAGCGCGAAATTATAAAACTACAACTTCCCTTAAGATCTAATGGGCAAAATCAAAGTCCCTGAAAAATTAAACTGGAAAATCTACATCTTGGTGTCTCAAGTTGGTCACTGAAGTGGACAAAAATACTCCCAACTTTCAAACTCATGAAGTTGATTATTTAATTAGGGACTACTTTGTGATAAGCAGGCACAGAACTGTTGAATTAAGGCTAAGTAAACCTAACTGCATCACTATGTAATTTTTTAAGTGCTTACTTTTCTCTCAAAATTTTCTTTCCTCATATACTTTTATAAGTAGATTTACATGTTTTCCCATGAACAGGTACCAAGTGAAAACAATAAAAATTTAATAATCAACTGACCAGTCACAAACCTACAGTCTTGTCTACTGCACAAACTCATATATGCTTTTATTAGTTATAGGTGGATACTTTATTGAAAATAGTGTTTTAATAGAACTGCAACTTACCAGCATAATCCTTTGCATTTACATTTCCACCAGCTTTTATTATCTTACATACAAGGTCTACATCTTGATGAGTAACAGCTCTATGCAGTAAATTCTCACCATACATATTTCTCCTGTGGATTGTTGAAAGTGTAAGAGGGCGAGTCAGACCCTTACCAAAGGCTTCTCGTTCTGAAAAACAATGTAAAAGCTCCGTCGCACAGAAAAATATTTTTTCTCTTATTTTGGCACTTTGTATTACAGTTGGTAAATGACCTTTCTGAAGACACAAATGCTCATTCAATCCAGTATTTCATAAAACACATCACCAATTAAATAATAATACCATTCAACAAAAGATGCCATTGGGAATTCCATAACAAAAATGCAATTGAAATGCAATACACAGAAATACGACTTTGCAAAGATGTGTTAACTTCAGACTTCTTCCTTCAAAAGTGCATTGCTTCCCAATGGATGGTAAAACTGCTATTCTGCAGTACAAATCATTGAAATGGAGACCATTTCAATAACTAAGTCAGTTATTCAATAATTTAACTTTTAAGAAAACTCAAATTTATCAACCATTATTTTGTAATTTTTTTTTTAAACCTCTGCTTTGTGAGGAAGTATTTACATTAGGATAGTGATTCAGATTAGCTCCCTCAGACTACCTTTCCCATTACTTCACAGCCACCTCAGCCTTTTCTGCAATGAGTGAAAGGTCAATATGAGGCCTAAATATAAAAAATTATATTTAAAAGATACTATTTTTAATTTTTAGTTTATATAAAACAAATGCTATCTCCCATTATGCATTCATCATAGTTTTCATCTTGGCTGAAATAATTTCCAATACATAGATGAGCTGTTCTGTACTTCATTAGCAGTGCCATTCCAGCATCCCTTAAAACTGTGGAGAAGAGCATCCTGGCTACTGCATCTGATGAAAAACAGAGGGAAGAAAGAAGGGAAGAAAGAAGGAACAGGAGAACTGCCTGCAGGAGAACACAGTGCATGGCCTAGGCCATTAATTCATCTACTAATGTGAACCCTTGGGACAGCAGGCTACATACACTGCTCCTCTCCACAGGCTGTAGCAGGTCTGTCTCTCTGGCCCTAAAACTGCCCAGTTGTCAGAAACAGACCTTAAAAACCACAATTCTTCTGTAACTCACACAGCCTGATGTCTCTACTTTGTGCATGGGGATATACTGTGAGCCTAGACTAATTTTCAACCTTCTTAAATTCTTGAGTCTATGTAGATTTTTAGAATCTAAGAGATGCGGGTTTACTCAGGACCTTCCCTCAGCTGGACAGTCTCTCTCCTCTACTTGCCCAGCCTTGCAAGACCTTGATAATTTCAGATATGCAGTCATTAGTCAAAGCTGGTCTAAACTAGCCAAGCAGTTCAGGAGGGATTAAACTGCAGAGACATACACAAAACAAGGTGCAGCTCTATGCTACAATTTACCTGATTCAATTTCCTCCTTCAAGAGAACCTATTTCCCATCACTTCCACCTTGCCTTCCCTACTGCTTTCCATGCGCCTGACCTTGTGCTGGCCCAAATGAAACTCATCATGGGGCTGTTTTCTCAGAGAATTATCAAACTAAGGTGAGTCACAGGCTCTTGACTGCTAGATCTGACACAAAAGGGAGATAAACTTGCTAGACTGGTTTAATGCAAAGCTACCTCTACAGGCATTGCAACTCTTTCTGCAGAAATCATGCTAAAGAACCAACAGCTTATTTACTGAGCGGAAACTAGTAAGCCATTTTAAAATAGAGGAGCAGCTACTCATTCCACTTTAAATCTCATCAACATAGTGCTTCTACCATGAATAATTAAAATCTTGCAAAAGAGAAGGTCTGTTAATTGGAGGTAGAATTCTTCACATTTTGTAAGTTCTGTTACAGTTCAAATACTTTCAAACTTTGTAAGATGTTTAAATTACTGTAGATTCATAGATAAATCCCAACTAAAAGGCCTTTAAAAAGCAAAACAAAACAAAAAACCCCACAAAAACAACTTCTAAGATTCCAGTCTTAAAGGTGCTGGAGTGAGCATGTAAGTGAGGAGGTCCTTTATCCTCTTACAAAATTCCTCTGTGACGTAAATAACTTATCTGCATGTATCTTCAAAGGATGAAAAGCAGCAATCTTTCTGTCTGACAAAGCACACTGCAAAGAAAAACACTTCAAAAGGTGGTCCATAACTGTGGCAGTGAAGGTCCTATAATCCTGTAGACAGGATAACAATACCAGGCATTCAAAATAGAATAAACTTTTTTATGGAGGTCAATTCTTGCAGATGGCACTGCCCTGAGAATGAAGTTGCACACAGAACACTGAATGATAGAAGGATATATAAATGCATGTCATTTATATACCTTTTCACTCTGCATGAGAACATTTTTCTTCTTGTCAGAATACATTGTAATTTTTTTTCATATAAAACACTGTGATAAAAATTGCATCCTGAAAAACTTCTCATGATTCTTAGGGAGTTTATGCAAACAGATCAATTGTTAGGTAGGTAATATGAAGGTTTTCAGAAGTGAGAGAAATTATCAATAATTTTAATTATTAAAATTAATGTTTCTATCATCTTTTAAAAAGAAATTCATGCCACAATATATTGGAAAGGTTATTAATTGTATTTGATTCAGTATAGTTTTTCAAATAATAAAATTATCTGTATGAGAACAGTATAGAATATCTTACTCCGTTTGTTGTCAATTCTCTTGCTCTTCCTCTGACTAGCTTCTGTAAACTCATTCAGAATTATTTCTTGCCACATTCTGGTTTCTAGATTCTGCTTGTCTTTAGAAGTAGACTTCTGAATTTTACTGACAAAAGATTTGCTTAGAATCAACAGAAATATTCTCTATATAAATCAGTGTTTACAGTAGAGGTAAGAATATGAACATATTTGACTTTAAAAGTAAGTAACAGCATGCAAATACACAGGCTAATTTAGGTAGTACTTAATAAAGAGTAAATCCAGAGAAACTAACCTGCAGATCTTTGAATAAAAGGTAAAACCTTCACCTTTTGATCATTTAAATTCATTCACGTGACAAATGAGTACTCCATATGCATTGTATTTATTACATTAATATTTTTTAAAAATTAAGAATATTATGCATTAATTTCTCAAAATCCTTAGGTTTGTTTCTTCCTACACTGCCATTGTGAGACATTCTCTGCTGAGTCTCTTCAACTGTTTTCTGGTGAGAGGAAACACAATCTCTCTACCTTCCTGAGGAAGTCTCTCAACTGCTTCACTTACCTTGATTTTGCTGGGGCTGTTTCTGCACATGCTGTAAGCTCCACTGAATGTGAATGTCCCTCACCAGTTTGCTTTTTACTAGAGGTGGCATCCCAGTAATCTGAAATTACTTCTTTCTCTCTCTGCTGATCATCCACAGGTTGTGATAAAAAAAGAAAAGAAATATTACAAGCAATCAGTAAGCATGCAGTAAAACAAGGGCATAAAAGTACATAAAAGAGCTCCAAGAACATTATAAATGGTGTGTGTCTTCACAGACAGCAGAGGTGTTGCTTAAGTGAATAACTGGAATTCTACAGATTCTGAAGTAGTATGCTATACATGTGCTCCTGACAGAAATAGCCAAGAGAATTAGGATACTCAGAATCACAACTTGAAACCTAAATCTCAGCTGGCTGACAGTGAACAAAAGTTGTTCTACCTGGAAGTTATCTGGACATAAGAATTGACTTAAGAGATTCATTTCAGTTTCCTATAGACATGAGCTCCTGTCCTGAAAAATTAGATGATGTTACAGATGTCTTAAGCTGGCCCATCTTATCTCACCCTTGCAGAAGCCTAGAAACATACACGAGGTAAGAACCATGTTTCACACGAAGTTCAGTGACTCCCAACTGAGAAGTTATTTCTAAAGACATACCATCCCTGAGCCACAAAACTATGGATGAGATTCACTTCACTAACCTTCAGCCTTCCAAAAGCCAGGCAACTAGATGTCACTAGGCACCCTGATTACCCCCACCACTGATTAAGAGGAAGAGTTACTTTCAGGGATGATAGTGATTCACTCATCCTAGGGGGTGCAAATGATGACTCATGTATACCAGAGACTTATCTTTAACAGTTATAGAGAGAAATCCCACCCTAAAGACAGGTCATCCCATGGAAGTTAATTTGAGTTTCTTAAGTTTATTCTCTGTTTTAGTCAAGTGAGTGTGACACACTGTTGTGTACCACTCAAGCTGCTGAAACCTGGGTACTCATTAGTTCATTCCTCACTTGAGTAATGCTGAATGCTTTTAGGACACACCCTCAACACACATACATAGAAATTCTTTCTCAGTGCCATGGGAGGACTTGATAGTTCTTTCCTGGGATACTAATAGAAATGGAGAATTCACTGATAATTTTTTTAATTGACATATTTAGCAGAGAGGCTACTCTGTGCTAAAGATTTAATTCACCAGAAGAGGTGAATTGCTTTCCCAAAAGTGGTCCTCCTGGATCGAGGGATGATGCATACCAATGCAGGATATGGGGTTTTTTAGCCTGTAGAAGGGGAGGCTGAGAGTGGCTCCTATCACTCTCTGCAACTACCTGAAAGGTGGTTGTAGTAATGTGGGAATTGGCCTCTTCTCCCAGGTAACAAGGGACAGGATGAGAAGAAATAAGTGCAAGTTGTGCCAGGGCAGGTTTAGACTGGGTATTAGGAAAAATTTCTTCACTGACAGAATAGTCAGGCATTTGAACAGGTTAACTAGGGAAGTAATGGAACCATCATCCCTAGAAGTGTCCAAAAAACATATGGATGTGGCACTTGGGGATATGTTTAGTGGTGAACAGGGTGGTTCACGGTTGGATGATTGGACTCGATGTTCTTAGGAGGTCTTTTCCAACCTTAATGATTCTATGATTCTATGGTACTTTGGGAAAATCAAATATGTTACTTTACAAAACTACCACAGCAGTACTTTTTGATGGTTAGAGAAGAAGAAGAAAACATTTCAATGACAAGAAACCTCACACTTGTATTAGAGACCGTATACTAAAATAAATGGGCTATCTAGAACCCTGACTGCATCTACAGGACAGGACAGGCTCTCCTCTTTTGGGTACTTGTTTCACCACAACAAGAATACTCTGTAGAAACAAGAATGAGAAAAGACCAAGGTGAAGAATATACTGTTAGAATTTAACAGTTATTAACTGGGATTTTTTTTTTCTCATTAAATTGCCTCCTTACTTCCTGCCTTCAAGAACACCATATGAAGACACAAAAAAAGCTAAAACTGAGTATTAATCAACAAGAGGTCATAGATACCCATTTCCACAAAACTCTATTTCATAATCTTAACTGTGATTTTGAGTAGATCTATGCATAAAGCTTCACACAGCTATGCTACAAATTTCAGAAATCAACACTTCACTGAAAGAGCTTTGTAATGTGCTATGGTTCGGAGATAATTATATGAGAGACCTTTCAGCACCTTGAAATTGCCACCTTTGTGCCACATGCTATGTGGCTATACATAGCTATTACATGCTATGATATTCAGTTAATACCACTACGTGAAGACAGAATTAACTCATAGTTTTTGGATGCTTTCTACCATTGTGGGGAAGCAAAGTGGTTGTAAATCCACCTAAAGAGCTGGCTATATGTGACTGATGACTGATTTGCAGCTCCAGATTATTCAAAGACGACACAGATCAGAGAATCAGATTACAGGTTTACAAGAGATGCCTATCACATTCTGTAGCATAAACATACATCTACTATGTGTCCTTCTCTTTCCCTTATTATAATCTAAATAGGAAGAGATTATGGCGTTGCTTTCCCTTCATTCGCCTTTCCCGATTTTTGCATTTGAATACAAACTACCTACTCTAGAACTCCTTTACAGCAGAAGGTGTAACAAGAAGGATCATATGCTGTGTCCACACATACACTGACTTCTCTAGGGGAGGACATAAATCCATGCCTAATTTTTTCAGCAAGTCTCACATAAGCAGATCAAATAAATAATCCTCTAAAAACATATATGAAAAATCCCCATTGAGCAATCTTTGCAGACTACAGAAAAGACACAGGTGAATTTATTTTATAATACTTGCAAAGCATTTTTAAGTTACAGCAGTGAGAAACGCAACAGAAGAAAACAGTACACTACAGCCTGGAGAAAAACCAGAACTGTATGGGGTAGAAATCTAGAGGTTTTGAAATTTCTATGCTGATTCTAGATGTCCACATCAGTCAATGAATTAACTTTAATAGTATTTCCTCTCGTAGCAGGCTAAACTTCTTCATCACATAGATATATCAAAGCAGAAAATACACTACTGAACTTTTAAAATAAAAACAACTTAAATGATTTAAACATGCAAATTACTGATGCCAGTTTATTCTTTCCTAAGATTCCCATCTCCAAGTAATTTGGCTATTATAAAATATTTTATGATAAACAGAGATTTCCAAATATGAATTAACATGTGTATATACTTGCTCATTTGTTGTCCTCTGAGAGTCAGATCCTCTGAAGGCATTTATTCCTTCCACCTGACTTCTAGCAAGTTGAGGGTCCATCACGTTTGTTATTTGTGTACAGTCATCATCTAACTGGGGAATACTGGGTTCTGAACTCAGCTGCTCTCCCTCGGTGTTAAGCTGTCTCTCAGCTGGCACCACAGAAGTGACAGGTTGTACCACAGATCCTGACAAGGCATCCAGAGGCCTCACAAGCTCTACTGGCAGGGCATCACTGCTCTCAGCTGCTGATGGATCAATGGAAAATGCATGACCCTGACATTCTAACATGTCAGGCAATGGGTTTATCACTTTAAGACTCTCAGAATCACCAGGGGATCTTAACACAGCACTGTCATCAAATCCACCAGTCCTTATAGTCTGTTCAGTGAATACATCCATGAAAATCTTCCTTGGGGATGCGAGAGAAAGGTTTGTATTATTGTTAAGGGAATGCTCCTCTACTACGTTATCAGTGTCAACAGGGGTCACACAGGTCACAAGATGATTGTCACAGATGTGGCAATCATCTAAAACATGTTGAAATGTATCTTCTGGTGTCTGTTCATTTAGAACTGTTATGTCTTCCACAGGGCCATCTAGATAGAGGCTTATTTCTGGAGAGAGATCTTCATTACTTAATTTTTGTGTAATCTAAAAATTAAAAAAAAAAAAGTTTACAAAAAGGAATGGAACAATCTTTCTAAAAAGCATTTAATTAACATTCACTTTAGAAGTAATCTACATACAGAGATATATATGCATATTTCATTATTAATTTTTGCATAAACTACAAGACTCAAAGCCCTCCTTCACACAATTGCAACAAGGCTTACTTAGACTGAGGTCTCAGTTGCAAAAGTAGATCACTTCAGCTCTTGACTTTCACAGCAGTGAAAATCCAGAGCAAGACAGACTAGATCTGTTAAAGATACTATGCCATTGCCAGTGACCTGAGGGTATTAAAAGGCTTTAAAAGAAAGTAACTTAAAATTTTTGACAACCAGAAATAATGAAAGTAAACATATTCATAATAATACAAAACACATAGTTACTAAAACACAACATATGAGTTTTGATGATGTGTATCCCATGCAGATGTGGAATATTTGTGCCTCACAAGCTTCAGTTCAAAAGCTTAAAAGTTTTGAGAAGTTTCCATATTTGAGTTTCCACACCGAGTACAGAATACAAAGGCACAACTGTTCTTCAAAATGTAATGCTGCTTCTGTTTTTCTAACCACTGTGAGCTGCTTTCAACAGATGCACCCTTTTTCAAACCAAGAAAGAGCTTTTTCATTTTTTTCCCTATCCCTGTTTCAAATGTTCTGCAGAAGAAAGTATGATGCCTCCACCAACCTAAATCATATATTTTTCTATATAACATTTGTATATAATAGTGCTCTTATTTAGTAAGGCTGGATCTTAAAAAAGTATCTTTCAATGCATTTTTGGAGTCTTGCTGCCAGCATGTGGCAATACTGGGCAGTGCAAGAAACCTTTAACCACTGGTAACATGATTTCAATAAAGCTCACACACAGCAAAACAGGGCAGAAATCTGACAGCATTGACTCACATTCAGTTTGTAAGTAAATATAAATCCCTGCTTCTTTGTTGAAAAATTACTCCTCAGGCAGCCCTTTCCTATCTTATACCTTTGTATCTAATTGTTCCTTTTTAAGTACTGGTTACTTCTGACTTTGCTGTACGTTTAACATCCTGCTTTGCATCCAGCTTGAAGAAGACAGTAGTTTTCTATCAGCCTGCACCTCAGGAAGTCTCCCATCATCCCCATATCACCATTGGTGAAACAGAGCTCAAATCAGTCCAGCAGTTTAATTACCTGGGAAGCATCATCTCCTCAGACGGTAAGATTGATGCAGAAATAGACAACAGGTTAGCAAAGGCATACAGTGCTTTCGGTAAACTCCATAAAAGAGTGTGGCAAAACAAACACATGAAGAAAAGATCAGCGTTTACAGAGCCACTGTACTGTCTACTCTTTTATATGGATCTGAATCATGGGTCATTTACCGCCACCACTTGCGTCTCTTAGAACGCTTCCATCAGCGCCGCCTCCGTACAATCCTGAACATCCACTGGACTGACTATGTGACCAACACGTCTGTCCTTGAACAGGCAGCAGCCACGAGCATTGAGGCCATGCTGCTGAGAACACAGCTGTGCTGGGCAGGGCACGTCTCCAGGATGCAGGACTGACGCCTCCCTAAGATCGTGCTCTATGGGGAACTTGCCACTGGCTGCCACAAGAGAGGAGCCCCAAAGAGGAGATACAAGGACTGCCTGAAACAATCCCTCAGCCTTGGCCATATTGATCACCACCCTTGGTCTGCCCTGGCCTCCAATCGGGAGGCCTGAAGACACACCATCTATAACGCTGCTGCTGCTTTTGAGAACACACGCAGGATCACTCTCGAGGAGAAAAGACAACACAGAAAGAATCGCGTCTCGTCGATATCACCTGGGGAGTCTTTCTGCTGTGCCTTCTGCAACCAGACTTGTCTATCTCGCATTGGCCTTTTTAGCCATCAGCGCGCTTGCAGCAAGCGTGGGTAGAGCCCCTCTCAAATCTTCATCTGCGAAGCCTAACCATGATGATGATGACTTCTGACTTTGCTGTACTTAACTACACTTTCTTTTTAGGCCACTTCTCTAATATATGCAGCCTTTAAACAACTGCAGAAAAAACCTCTACTGACACAATCTTCTGTACTTGAAGAACTGTGGTATACACAGCATGCATGTATATTACAAATTTCCCAAGAAAAATGCTCAGTGCATTTGTTAAAGGGCAGGTGAAACTTACATCTATATTAATGCAGAAGGCAGGCAGTGAAGGATTAATTTTGCAAGATCCTAAAAACCTAAATGCCAACTGAAATCCAACCTGTAAATGTGACGTGTTCAAAAAACTCCTGTCCAACTACAGATGCCTAAACTTCTTTAGCACTCATTTCTGTTGGCAAAATCCTGTGGGTCTTGCTCTACAAATAATTAAAATCTGCAGAACATAAAAAAATGTTAAACTTCCCCTCCCTAAAACCCCTCCTCAGCTGCCACTTATGCATAAAGACACTTAAAAGCCCCACTGTCTAAAGTCCCTGTAACTTCAACCATCTGCTGAAAAGCAGCAGAGGAGCTGCCGAAGAAGCAAAGCTGAGCCAGCTGTGACCAGCATCAAAACTGAGAGTTCTCTCTTCTGTTGACCCCAGCCTGGTAAATATGGTTTGAATATACCTAAGTTTCTCTCAAATGAGGAACAAGTATCAACACTGTGGTAAGTGCAGTTTCAGGACCATCTTCCACCAGAAGAGCTACTTCAAGCAATTAATTTTAAATAGGGGTTTCTATGTAAAAAATGTACCACTTTGGCATAATGCCATTGATTATTTTATGCCAACCATGTCCTGGCATCTATGAATCTCTTCCACTGGTCAAACTACTTCAAAAAACTTGATTTAAATCCCAGTATTCTCATGTCTTAATTATTCGCAGTACAAACCCAAATCACAGCTCTCCTTTAGCCAGGCACAAATCCTGGTGACGTGGCATCAGCCAGAATGTCTTGTCTCCCTCGTAAGCGTGCACTGAGTAACAACTCAGCATAGACACAGTCAGTTCCAGCCTCAGCTGATTCACAACCCAGCACCAAAGGAAACAGGCAGACAGGGAAGTCAAGAAGATGTCTCGCAGAAAAACCAACAAAACAGATATAAAAACTGTACGTTAGTACTTGCACTGCATCAAAGGCCAGTGAGTGAGCCAGGCTTTGCCAAGCCTTAGGTGTTTCCCTCTCCTTGTGCACTACACGAGCAAGGTTAAATCTGGCCTGGCAGCTCCAGCAGCCAGCAGGACATTCACATCACCTTGGTGCTGGTGAATCATGACACACAAGGACTTTTTTCCTATATGTTTGAGAACAATTTGAAAGTTACCAAGAAATTTTAGGCTTTTGGGTGTCACAGCCTGTGACTTACAAATGTTACAACACAAAAAGGGAATGACTAATACTGCAGTATAAATAAAGGGTGGAGTAGAAATATTAAGTGGACTCCTGTATCTGATAGCTCTGAGTAAAACAACAGCAGAGAAGTTCATCTGTTCAATACAAATATGCAAGAGAATCACTACAGAAGAATTAAGCTTTCAGAGAGATCAACACTATCAGTTTCTGTAAGAACACTTTGCTGGAGACTACTGCAATATACTGGCACATGAAGGAGGCACAGAGAATCACACATTTGTGTGAGGGTGGAAGGGACCTCTTGAAGCCAACTAGTCCAACCTTGCTGCTCAAGCAATGTCAGCTGCAGCAGGTTGCCCAGGACTATGTCCAGTCAGGACATAGGTGGAGAACGCACAACTGTTCCAGGAAACGTGTTTTGGTGTCTGACACCTCTTCTCAGTTAAAAAGTATGTTTTTGTGTTTAGATGAGATTTCAGATTTCACAATTTCTTTTGAATTTGTGTCCATTTCCTCTTGTCCTATCAGTAGGCACTACTGAGAAGTCAGTGTCCCTTATCTTCATTCCTAGTTGTCAGATGCTCATATACAAGTGGTAAGATCCCCCTCAGCATTCTCTTCTTCAGCTTGAACAATCCTGGCTCTATCAGCCTGTCCTCACATGGAAGGTCACAGAATCACAGAATGGGCAGTAGTCCAATGCTCCTGCCATGGGCCAGAACGTTCTCAAGTACATCAGGTTCCTTAGAACACTATTCAATCAGATCTTGCATGTTTCCATGGATGGGGCATCTACCTGCTCTCTGGGCAACCCCTTCCAGTATTTCAACACCGTCATTATAAAAAATTCCTTCCTTATATCTAATCTGAATCGACCCTCCTTTACCTTAAAACTATTACCCCTACAGGCCCCAAGGAAACAGTCTGTCCCCATCGTTCTTATTAGCCCTTTCAAAGCAGTGAAAGGCTGCAATGACGTCTCCCTAGAGCTTCCTCTTTTCCAGGCTAAACAATTCCAACTGTCTCAGCCTGCCATCATCATATGAGAGGTGCTCCAGCCCTCTGATCATCTTCATGGCCCTCCTCTGGATCCTCTGGACCAACAGGTCCATGTCTTTCCTGCATCCAGAGCTGGACCTCAGTACTCCAGGTAAGGTCTCACAAGACCAGAGTAGAGGGTCCAGGTCCTTCTACACAGAGCTATTTTCCAATCAGCTGGTCCTCAGCTGTACTAGTGCCTGAGGTTATTTCTCCCCAGACGCAGTACTTCACACTTCCTTTTGTTGAATTTCATTAGATTTCTCTCTGCCCCTTCTCAAATCTGTCCTGATCCCTCTGAATGCCAGCACAACTATCTGGTATATAAGTCACTCCTCCCAGTACCATCTCTGAACTTGCCAAGGGGTGCATTCTGTTCCATTTCCCAGGCCACTAATGAAGATGTTGAACAGTACTGACCCCACTACTGACAGACTAACCACAACAGAAACCAGTGTTGCTATGTCACCAAGGTCAAGGAAACACAGCAAGACTAATTTTGTGGTGTCAGAATTCTATGCAGATTATCTTAATCTACAGATTTACCTTGTGTTCCCAGGGACACACAAAACTAAAATGGTCACTGACTCACTGCTGGTTGTCAAGGTGTCTGTCCTGCCCTTGCTGCAAATCAGTAAGGGATGGCCCTTGGTTCCTCTCACTAAAGATCTTTCTGTAGGATTCACATCTTGCCAGTGCCAATATCAACCAATATCCAAAAAGTATAATTCACTGCAGTGATTTCCAACCTTCTTTCTCCAGTCTCCTAAAATATCCTCTCTGGAGATATTCTCAATGCACTCAACCTGCCTGTTCTCCAGAGGGTATTAATCATAGACAATCTCTCTTTCAAAGCATTTAGATTTTGTTCTGTTGGACTAATTCTGTGCAATGAGAATGTTTCATTTAATAAACTTGGTATTATAGGCTTATATTGATAGCTGCATATTTTTCAGAAAAGAAAAGCCTAGGAGATTTCAATTTTTTTCCCTTTGTTCCCAAGGCAAAGAATACTTGGCCCTGGTCATCAAGGGTATTTGCTGCATGACATGAACAATTTGCCATACTGGTCTCAAATCTACCTTTGGTGAATTATACCAAAAAAATAGTTGCTTTTTCCCCAACTATTACCTCAATCAGTAAGGTAGTTACAGATCTATTCCTCCTCAGAGACTTTCCAAATATAATGCTTTTCCCATAACTTTCACTGGTGGGAAAAATTTTAAGCTACTCCAAGTCTTCATTGCTTTATCTTAAGTAACAGCCCTTACAGATTCTGTGTCATGATGATGTCTTTCCCACTTCCCTTTCACTGCTGTGCTCCTACCCTTGTGTTCTGCAAGCTTAGGAATTACAGTTCTTATCTAAAAAGCAGAAAATAAAGTTTGGCTTTAAAGTTGTTTAAAGCTCAGTAACAGTTTCAACAGCTATGTGTTTGCTTTTTAAAATGAAAGAAACAGACATTTTTCAGTAAAATACTCTATAATGCTAAATAAATTATATGATATTTTATATACATTCTCTTGTAAAAATACACTTACTTTTTCTTCTGAATCCTTTTGAAATCCATTCAATTTGATATCTAAATTAAGGAGAGTAGACAAATATTTCAGTTTTACTTTCCACTTCTGAAAGTTCTCATTGCCTCTAAAAATTGGCACCATTTCGTAAGTTTAAGTCTAAAGTTTCAAACCTTAAAAATTACAATAGTCGTGTTCCCTAAATGGAACTGACAATAAAATTTCTAGTTAGGCTCTGTTAGCCAGTAAATTATATCCCAGAGCTATTTTGTCACATTTCTTCACTGTGGTTTAGAGGCCTGTCTTTCCAAAGACTGTCAGCAGACGGTATTGCCACCCATTCCACAGGGTAAGACTTATCCCCTGCCCTCTCTTCTAATTCTAATGCAATTAGACAATACTGCTAAAATAACCTAATAATTTACTGCCTCTGGAAAGGGATGATCCCAACCCTTCTGTTTCTATCACCCTGTTTTGACATTCACATGACTCCCTGGCAATTTCCTCATCAGAAATAAAGTGAGTGTTTTTCTGTAGGGTTAGCAAAAATAAGGTAAAGCCAGAAGACAGCTAAATACATGGGGTAGTCCTGCACTGTTGGGAGCACAGAGGAATGGAGGTACAACTAAAGTAGCATTAAGTGACATACAGATATGAGGAATAGTAGCATTTCCGTTTCTTCTTTCTTACAGATGCCTCTGAGTCTTGGACATGTTAGTAAAAAACATTTGGGAACTCTCAATGACCTGTGTATCTTATACCTCCATATGGCACTTGAGTATTGAGAATATTTATGAGGTCTATAACTTTTGTCAGAAAATTCCACAGCAATTAAATAATTTTAAACTGGATATATAGCACTGGATTGAGAAAACAGTTACTTCTTCAAACAATCCTAGCAGAACACTTACAAAACCAGAACTTTTAGTCCATGACTATAAAAACTAAACAAGTGTTGGAAAAAACACATATATTCTAAATAAATCTACATGGATATTCATCTTCAACTTCTCAAATTATTTTCTCAAAGGACTTTGGCACAGCTAGAACAACTTCTAGTTTTGTACAACATACCTACAGAATTAAGTTGCTGTTCTTCTACTGCAGCATTTAGTGAAAAACCAGAGTTAGAAATACTTTCAGTAGGTGATGAACACTTTATCCAATTCCTAGAATTAAGTAATATAATAAGAAGTTCTTAAAGAATTGTAATCTGCTCATCTTATGAAAATTTTTACAGTACTTCGAGTTTACTTCTGTAATTTCGTCCTAATCATTATTCAAGAAAACAGTTGCAGTTATTTCAGAGGTACACTTTTATTTTACAAGAGCATGCAACAAATAAGACTTCCGGATTTCCTACATGGAACTAGCTATGTTTGCACATTCATTCTCTAAGTGAAATAATGGCCTTTCCTGTTTTTTTTATTAGTTCTTTCTATGTTTCTGCTGAAAACCTTCCATAGCTTCCATGAATGAAAGGTCTAGTATTACTTGTTATAAATTTTTGTTTGTCTAAGGGTTTTCTCCAACTTCTGTTACTCTTGTTGGTTATGCTCTTAAACCAATAAAGGTAATATCATCAATATAAATAAATCCAGGTATATACTGAACATAGAACTACCTGTGACATAAATACAGATCCTTCACTAAGCAAACAAGAAAACTGTTTCTCAGTAGTATACTGAGAATAAAATAACATACAAATGGATGTATAATGGAATTATTTACAGTATGCCTGACTGGAATTTCTATATGATGTATTATACTCACTGCAGCAGAGACTGAGACTGGTCACATGTGTATGCCTCTTGAAGTATCTAGAGAAAAAAAAAATAACAAGATAGCCAACAAAGTACTTAACTTTTTTTTTGTTGTTGTTTTATTGCCAATTGCCTATCTCCTTCTTTCTGTAATTGAGTTGGGAATGCAATTTTTAGATCTTATCATTACATATGTTACTAATAAGACACAAAAGTATTCTGCTTAAATCTTTTTTTTATTTATACTATTTGAGAAAAATGTTGAAAAATAAGACTGTGGAAGACTAACACTCACCCAGAAGGAAAACATACCCATGCAATTAAGACATGAGTGCTTCAAACTTTGATGTTTTACACCTCAAAGAACCAAAACACAAGGTTTAACTTCAACTCACAGTTTTTATCTTCTTTTGATAACAACTCCCTTTTTTCATTAATAAAAAAGGGTGCTGCTCCAGAGACTGTGAAGCTCAGTATAGTACTCTCAATATCCCTGTAAACAGCACAGTTTAATTACTTCAAGACCTGCACATCAGCAAGCTCTAAGTGGCAGGGCTGCCACATGTCAGCACAGGAAAGAGCATGAGGGTAATGTCAAAGCAGGTGCCGAATTCCAACTCTTCAGTACAAAGAGCTTGGATCTGCTTTTTGTGCCTTTGTACATAAAGAAGAGATCTCCTCCAGTATGGAAAACTGAGCCTTTGTATACTTTATAAAGTATGTAAGCCTTTATATACCTTTTCCAATGCATAAAAAGGAGCCTTTATGTAAAGTCTAAGGCAAACTAGGAATGATTAAGATAGACAAGTGAACTGCAGAATGGTTCTCTCACCGATGAACTGAAGACTGGGTATTACTAGTGAACTCTCTACACACTGGCTGTAACTTTAAACTAATCATTGACATACAGCAGACATCAACAGCACTAGGAAGATTTTGGGAAAGAGCACCTCGGTGCAGACACAACCATCTTAACAATGACCTGGAGAGTAACAGGTGGAGACTGCCCAGTAGCAGGACTGCTAAAAAGCTTCCTGGAACAGAAGAGAGTCTTTAGTTTGTACAACAATTATCGACTGAAATAATTCCAAAATATGGCAATTGGGACAGTTCACAGAAAACTATTGACTTCGCTTAAAAACACCCTTCAGGTGAGTCAGCCTGAATATTTACACAAGACATTATTCAGAGACCAGGCAAGGTCAAGAGAATAACAGAATAGCTATTGAACCACTCTGACTGCTTTACGCTGCTCTTAAAAGCTCAGTGAATGACCCTTATAACTCAGAAGACAAAGGAGGTATTTTCCTGCTAAAAATATAAGTTCTAAGCAAAATCCGCATATTGCTCAATGGTTGAAGGGTCTTCTCAGATCATGTGAGTTACACAAATACGATTTGTGGTGACTGACTGGAAGTACAGGAACAGCTTTTTGTCCTGCCTCTTGTTTTTGGAAGGAAATTCCTGCAAAATCCTAATAATTTTTTTAATTTCAACACTTATTTATACAGCAAACTATATGAGGGGACTCTGGATGTGGTCCAAAGAAAGACTAATGCTAAACAGCTGTCAGGTGTTACCTAACAATTTTAGGCGCACTTCACCAAACAGGGTAAGAAAAGCAAAGTATGGAAAAGTGAAAGCACAAACTTACAATCGTGACACCTGCCTGAACAAGCCATGGAATAGGGTGTTAAAAGATAAGGAAAATGATTTGTCAGTTGAAAAGAACCTGGATCCTACAAAATCTGATGTATGTCTACTGCATTTCTCGTGGAAGAAAATTCTTAATTACAATTTCTTACATGATGGAATCAAAGATAGGACTGCAGAATCACAAGCCTTCCCCCAGCCCATCCAAAGATAGCTAAGACTCTCTGGAACAACTGGAACGGATGTTACATTTCCTGAAAAAAATCACAGCCAGTCCAGGCTGCATGACCCTCATATCACATCACATCTAAATCCTGTACTCATGTAAGATCATTTCTTAAGACACAGTAGAAGGAAACCTTCTATGTAACTGCATTCCATGCTGGCTCTTGGAGCAGTTGGAAGAGCCACACTAGTGCAACCTACTCATGTGGGTATCAAACATGACAGGTCAATACCACTCCTTACAGTATTCAATAAAGATTTAATTTTTACACTGTCCCCAAGCTTTGCATGACCAAGCTGCCAGTGGCATGCTATACAGGTCTCCCCTCCGAAAATCTAGCAAGGAGTACCCCAACTATTTGGTTAGAAGTACTAGGTTTCTTTGCTTTTCTGACCTTTTCTTTAGTGTACTGGATATTTGTCCTTAGACTTGAAAGAATCCCTTACTAGGATTGCAGACTGGCTAATCTGCTGGTAACGATGAAGCCAAAGACATAGGTTAGCAAGAGGCTAGTCAGATCAGCTCCTAGAGTGGAAAGGAAGAGAACAAATGTGCACTTCCCTTATTCTCTCCATCCTTGAAAAACCATAATAAACTTCAGCCAAGACAATCCTGGGGCATGCAAGAAGCAAAATAAAGTTACAGAGAAAAGTCATTGAAATAACAGCATCTTTTGGAATTTTGTTCACTGTTTTCCACACTGTCAGTTGAGACAAATTTATTTGCAATCCTATAATGAGCTGTAAAAACATTCACTCCAGTAGAAGTGCCTTTTTTCAACATAGCTTTTGTCATCTAAGAAACAGTTTAGCCCTTTTAAAAATACCTCTTTTTTACTGGAAGAAGGTTACACAGATTGTGGGCTTTGAACTGGTGAATCCACAGTGCTAATGATGGTGTGACAGTCACAATTAAAAGCAGAGAACCTGTTTGTCTCTAATTATTTCACGACCGCATCATATGCAGGTGCAAACTCATTGCTCAGCTGAACAGAGGTTTATGGGTCAGCTAACAATCATATTAAATACATTAAAAGGTAGGCTAATTAGTAGATTAGGGAATGCAGAATTATCTATAGAGTAAAACTATTACCTCGTCATTATGCAAGTAGACATTTTATTCTGCATTTCAGATTATTATCTCTTTCCTTTTGAAAGAAACAATTGTTCAATCACTGGATCAAAGCTGATCTCACAATGAGTAACCAAGGGTGTGTTCCGGCACAGTCAATCCAGATGGTTACCTTTCAGCTCCTGAAGGGAACATACTAAAAAGTCTGTGCTCCACGACTTCTTTGTCTTTGTCCTGGGCTTGTTCCTCAGATTTGAGAGGAAATTTCACATATGAGATACTTCACAAAATACCAGGGAATAGACATTCCTAGAGACAACATGCTTCACGTGTGACAAGATGAAATTCACTTCATCTGTAAGCCACCAGACCCTTTTGCATGTAAACAAAGGGAGGCCCAGTGGTTTTAGTAATAATCCTTAGATATGTTTACAGGAGACATTATCATTGGTGTACTTACTGTATTTATCTTGTCTTCCTTCTGACAGTATTTGTGGTCATCAAATTTCTGTATAAAACAGATTTCTGGAGAATGATCTCCTAGAAAAAACAAACAAACAAACAAAAATCCTCAGTAATTAAAGTTTTGATTGCCTTAATTTCTACATAACTTTCTGTAATTGCACACACCTTTATATAAGTCAGTAATTGAGGTACATGCATCAAAGCTTCTGAGACGCAACGGATTTAAGAGGCCAAATAATCTATCTCACTAGATTTTGAAACTACAATGAATGGTACAAAAGTTAATAAAACCAGCCAGGGGGAGAAATTTATTTCACTTCGTGTTCTGGGACCCTCCTTGAGTTTGTATTGGAGATTAACTCTTTCCTCTCATTTTTAAACTAAGAACTGCAACTTTGGTAAGCTGCCTGATCCATTTGACTAAAAATATACTTGTACTCTTACATGGAGTAGTTTTTTTAATGACTATACAAAGAAAGACATTCTCTCTGGAAAAAAAAAGCCCTTAAGGTTGGACCATTAAGTTTGAAAACTAAGATGTTGATACTGACATCAATCAAATTAATATTTGTGCTATGTATCTCATCCCCAAATTGCTAATATACAAGTATGTACAAACCCATGCATAATTAAATTTTAATTCCAACTTACTGAATACAACATGAGGCAGGCAGAATGCTACAAATATCATAATCTATTACAGTTGCAGGGACAAAACCCCTTCACTCAACCCTCAGACAAATGCCTACTCCACAAACTGAAGAATGAGCCAAACAAACACGCCTTAAACTCTGTATGTTGAATGTTGCCAGGTGTTAATTCCAGTGGATAATCACAGGTAAGTTCAAAATGGGATGATGTTTCTTTCCTCAGTCAAAACTATTAAACAGCTATAAATTGTTCAGCATCAGGAAAACACAGCCGTTTGAAAAGTTTCTTCAGATTCCAATGGGCTGTAGGTAAGACTTATATTAACTCAGAGTAGTTAAAATGACAGTCCACTCAGATCTTCAAACTGGCAAAAAGACAAACAATATAAAAATCTGGAAGAACACCATGTGTCACTTAAAGAATACTCAGTCCGAAATATTGCTGAAATAAAACCTACAGGACGTAAGTCAAGTATATTATATAAAAATGCAAAGGAGGTACCAGTGAAACTATTATGTAACTAAGACATGCTTGCTCATGCAGCATACTTTATGGGAGTTATTGTGGAAGATTTTAAGACTTTAAATGAGTGTGCAACCACTTATGCTGAAAGTAATTTAATGATACACTTAAAATAATGCACTTAAATATATCTACTCAAACTTTGTATGCTAAAGAGAATGGATATATTAGCAATATCAAGGAGCTTTAAAAAATACTATAAGCAATTATAGTTACATGTAACTATTACATGCATAGATTCCATTTATTTTATTTTATTCTGCTCAAACACATACATACAAATACATACATATTTCATATACTTCCCAAGACAAGGACCCTCAGTTATAGTATATAGAAAGAATAGAAAAGTCAAGAGCAAACTTAATTTTCAAATATTAAAAAAGTGGTGAAGAATCTTCTAAAATATGAGCTAAAATTACAGATATAATAAAAGAGCACATACACTTCCTAAGAATGAACTTCATGCGGCTCTGAAGTATAAATAACATAGACTCAGGTAACATCTAAAGCAACAGTTAAAAGAAATAAACACAGGCTGAAAAAAGCATCCGTCCTACCTTTAGAAATACTTATCTCAGTGGTTAAAGCTATGTCCACATTAGGAAAGGCCAACCTTTGCAAAATAAATAAAATGTCATTAAGCCTTACAGTCCTATAAACTCAAAAGGCAGGTAAGAGTTCAAGTTCTCTTAAATCCTCAGTTTAAGAGAGGTGCCCATCCCAGCCTCTGACGTTGGGACAGCACTGGGCAAGTGCTAACACCAACAGCAAACCCAAATTTCAGGAATATACCTGATTTTCTGCATAGAAAATCATGGGTATTGAAGCACATCACTGCTTTATGTATTTCCAAGAAATGCCAGGCCACAAAGCCAGCACAAAGAGGTGCACTTGCAGGTTTTTTCAATCCTTTGCCACGTCTTAAATGATACAAATGTAATGAAAATGATATCAAGTCAAAGTTGCAGGGAAATAGTTTTGGCACCAACTGCATTTAATAGTGTTTATTCCCTCCGGGTTGGTTTCTGGGGCATTTCACTTCTGTGGACTAAAATGTTACTTAGGAAGGTCTAGAGGCACAAACTCCAAGGCACACAAGGTGCATGAAAATAAACGGGGCCATCAGCGGAGCTAATAACCTCTGAGTCTAAGGGCATACAAAATGGCTCTGAACAGAGAAGGGGGGAGGGGGGGGAGAGAGAGAGAGAACAAAAATGAAAAAAGAGGGCAAAACTCTCATCCCCGGACCAGCCCCTCAGCCGCGGGCCCCTTGCTGTTCCGTGAGCGCGCCACACCTGCCGCCGCTCTCTCCCAGGCAGGTGCCGCTCAGAGCTATCTGTGTTACCACCTCCTCCTACAGAACTCCTCTTCCTCCATATCACTCTCCGTCACAGAGCCCTCCACGACGGTCTCGTCGCTGTCCGAGTCGGTATCCCCGCCGCGGCCCCGCCGCACCATAGTGAGCTGCCGGCTCTGCCCCGGCACCTCCTCAAGCGGCCGCCCGCAGGCGTCGGCGGCCGCCATCTTGTGGTGGCGTCTCGCTGCCCCTCCGGCGGCCCTGGGCGCACATCATTCCCTAGAGCCGCAGAGCTCGAACATACGCCGTGCTGTGTGCCGGCAAAAAGGTTCACTTCTGCGCGTTTGTGCACTCCTGATGCTGACATCTCGAGTCAGAAACGCTTATTTGCCCAGAGAGTTACACTGAACTAGAAGGGGGGTTGTGAAACAGGATCTGGCCTTATCAGTGAGGGACCTCAGAGCCTCAAAGGAGGAACCCTGAATGAAGGACCAGCTGAGCTTTTATTGTATAGTCTGGGGTCTTAGAATCATAGAATGATAAAGGGTTGGAATAGACCTTAAAGATCATCTACTCCCAACCCCCAGTGGCATGGACCATTAGCCCAGGTTGCTCAAGGCCTTATCTAGCCTGGCCTTGAATGTTGCCAGTGCTAGGGCATCCACAACCTCCCTGCGCAACTTGTCGCATTGTCTAATTCTTCCTAATATCTAACCTAAATTTCTTCTCTTTCAATTTATACTCATTACTCCTTATCGTATTGCTATAGTTCCTGACTAAACGTTCCTGTTGAGTTGTTGGCTCCTGCTGAGTCTCTTGTCACCTGGTGTGTTTCTGGTCCCCTGGCTGGCACCACAGGTCTCCGTGCCCTTTTTAAAGGAAGGGATCTGTGCCAGTTCATAGCCTCTTGAGTCTGGCAGTCAGCTGTCAAAGATTGCAACCACTCACTCATAGACCAGTGACTCAAGAAACCCACCAACTTGAAAGAAGAGAAAGACTGAGCAAGAGAAGCAAGAGAATCATTTAACCAAGATATGCTAGACTACTAATTAATAAGCAAATGAAGTAACTTGTAACCAATGAACTGTGACTACTTTGTTTTCTAAAATATGTATATAGAGTAAAGTTTGAGAAAATTCCACCCTGCACAGAAAAAACAATGTCTCTTTTCTAAACTAGGTCTTGTTTGGAGTCCCTAAATCAGCAGCACTTCCCCGGCCATGGTCAAGTAGCTCACTTCACCTGCTGTCCTGAGCACAATGAATGGTTCATGTGCTCATGAGTGGGAACATGTTTGAGATAACCAAATTATTAGTTGGCAACACTTTCACAGTATTTGCAGTAGCACTCTTCAGTGATCGTCCCTGAATCACAACATTTCCCTCAAGCAGAGCTGCTCTGCCTCCGCTTTACCTGCCATCTGCTTGGCAGTGGAGCAGTGCTGCTCCCATGGCCTCTGCCAGGGCTGGGCTGCAAGCAGGCCACCACAAAGCACTACAGATGTGAGAACTTGATGTCAGCACGTGTGGTGTCGCACAGACTTCAAACCCCAAATCACCGCAGTGATTCCTGCTGCCAGTGAACTTCATGATAAAATTAGCATTTCCATGAACATCGCCAAAACATGTTCACGGAAAATGTGGAAAACAGAGCTAAGATACTAAGGATCGTCTTAAATTATATATCATTTGCACATAATTTTTGAACCTGCGTACAAACTGTTATTGTGCTTTGGCTTAGTCATATCTGTATGCAATTATAGTAATTGCTGTGCATACTATCAAGTGAGTCCAGAAATCTCACTGGTAACACTTTACAGTTTTCAGCTAATGAAGGTGAAATACTTAAGAAAGAAGGTGTCAGGAAAGATGGATACACAGTAGTATTATTAAGATATATAAGTACTGCATTGAAGATGAGACCAAAGAGGGCATCTTGAGCTTGCGTGAATGATTTTGTCACTGATAACTACTCTGGGTGGAGTTCTTAGGAAACATTTTCATAAGCGCTTCCTTTTTTGAGGATCACACTAATGCTTCACAGCACAGCACCATGCGGAGCTACTAGAAATATTTCCAAATGAGGTGCCACACATAAGCAGCAGCTTCGGGAACGCCGAAGCGTGGATCATTCACTACAAAACCCTTTTTATTTGAACGTGTTAGCCCACAAGCTCAGCCTCAGAAACACATTAACCGCAGTGCCAGCCTGGAGTGCTGTCTTGCAGCAACCATAGTGTGTCACACCCGACTCAGTGTCCAAAGAGAATCACTAAATTATTGGGTCTGGGAGGGACCTCTGGAGACCATCTAGTCCAACCTCCCTGCCAAGGCAGGGTAACTTAGAGCAGGTTACATAAGAATGCATCCAGGTCGGTCTCTGAAAACCTCCCAACACTTCATGAACCAAAAAACTGTACTTCCTCTCTGGCCGAAAGACACAAATAAAAACACACTGTATTTTTTGTTTTTTTCTTTTTCCCTCGAACGTCAGAGTCACCGCTGCTTCCCACAAGCAGGAGCTGGGCATTTCTGCACTGCCTGCTTGTGCCATGGCCCAGCGCGGTGCCCGTGCGCTTCCAGGGCCGCGGGGGGGTCGGGCCGCTCCCGTCCTCGGCGCTCGGCGCGGGGCGGGCCCGGCGACACCACCCCCGCTCCACGGGCCATGCAAATGAGACGCCGCGGCCGCCCAATGAGAGGGCGCGGAGCGGGTAGTGCGGCGGCCCATTGGCGGTCAGCCCATGGCGCGATGGCGTGTTCGCCGCTCCTGATGGCGCGTGGCGCCGCGCGCCGCTGGCCGGGCCGTTGCCGCGGCGACGCGGCGGGTGACGCGCGACGGGCGTGGCGTGGCGCGCGCTCGCCATTGGCCGCTCGATCGGGCGATGGCGGCGCCGGCGTGTCCTTGCGCGGCGGGGCGGGCGGCGGGGCGGGGCGGCGGGAGGGGGCATCGGGCGGGACGCGGCGAGCGGCCACTGCGGCGGGGAGCGGCCATCGGGGAGCGGCCATCGCGGCGCGGCGGTGAGTGGGGTCGGCGGGGCCGCGGGTGCGGAGCCGCCACACGGGCGGAGAGCGGGCAGGTGGCGGCGGTTCGGGGCAGGGAGGTCACCGTCGCCATCTCTGGCCGTCGGAAGCAGCGGCCGCCCCGCCTCACTGCCACCCTCGGCGGTGTGCGGGGCGCTCCGGGGCCGCCTTGGCGCCCGCGGGCTGCGGGGCTGATCCGCCCGGCTCTTGCCCGGTGGCTGCAGCTCCGGGCCTGGAGGGGCTGCCTTCGGCGCCGTGAGAGCCGAAAGGTCTGCGGCCGTGCGGCAGGGGCTGCGCTGTGTGTGCCGTTCAGGTGAGCGCCGCACGGCTGCTCGCTCGGCTGCTCTTGCCGCTGGGTTCCTGTAGCTGCTGCTGAGTCAGCTCGCAAGAGATGGGAAATTTGTGCTGACCGCACTGATGGTGTTGTAGAGGACTGCTCTGAGCTTAGTTAGAGCTGGGTGACAGACCTTGGGTGTTTAACAAACTAGTCGTACAGTTACGTGGTATGTAATTGCTCTGAAGCATTACATACAACCGATCTCGTTTGCCTTTTACACTCCGGTTTGGAGGAGTTGCAGCTGGGTTTTGTTTATATTTTGTGTTCTGTTTTGATTCCCAGGTCGAAAACAAAGGCAAGCAGAATTTATAAAGCATCCTTTTTGTACAACCATTTTGAAGTCTAGCAGAATTGTTTCAGTTTTAAATTTTGGCTTTATATTTAACGTTATGTCTTGCTAATTTCAAGCTGGGAGTCAGTGTAACTGTATAAATACTTCAAACAGAAAAATGAGTTCTTGTTATGCATTGACTCTTTTTTTACAGCACTCTAATGCATAATCAGTGTGTGTGATGAATATTTTCTAGAAAAGTCAACTGCGTAGCAAAAACCACTATGCATTTCAGACAGGTTAAACAAACATGAACGCTTCAAAAAATCCTTTTAGGTTAGAAGTTAGTATTACGCAGTTAACCCCAATATCAGCCATGAGGCATCCTGTATTTCATAGCAGCCATTCAATAAAAATCTAAGATATTATGGATAATTATTTTCATAAATTAATTTATGCACTTTTTCCTCTGATTTATGTGAAACCATTTTAGTCTTACTGTTTTTGTGTAGAAATGTGACAAATAATTTCTGAAAAAAGATTTTGAAATCCTTCTAGCCCTACTAATTTATTTATCTTTTGATGGCCAGATAATCATTCCAACTTGCAGAATTAATTGTATTAGCTGTACTACTGGTTTCAGGACTTGTAGGACTCTGTAACAGTCGTGTAGTAACTACTAGTTCTGATTTTCCTGAAACAGATATTCAAAAGTATTTGTATTTTCAAAGACCGTTGTTTTGCTTTTCTTATTTGTTGTTTTGAAATATTCAGCACTGAGGTAGGTAATGTTTTTCTAATTTAAAAATACCTTCTGCTGAGGAAAAATGATAATACCATTTAGGTACAGCTTGGTGGGAACATAAATGTACAAACCAGAGTGTAGATTATATTACAGAGGGAAAAAGAAGGGAGAACTGCATTATAAAAGAGGTGTTTGCTTTTGGTTTTTAATTTTATTCTTAAAAGTTTTCTCTTAGGAAATGAAATAATTCGTTCATAAAGAAGACAATCCTCGCAGTCATTTTCCCCATTTGGTTCCGTGAACCACAAACATCTGTCACACCTTCACTGTAGAAGGATAAAGAGAAATAGATCAGTGCTGTTGGTGCTCATGTGATTGAGATCGGCACTGGTAGGAAACCAAGATGGTTCTGGTATCTTCAGGAACACTTAACCAGATAGTTTTGCCCTGCCTGTTATTTTTTTCATTGAATGACAACTTCATTTTTGATCTCCAAGCAAAAGAAGTAGTACTAGAAGCCCAGTGGATGGATTGTTACTTTTAAAGCAACACAAAGGGATTTTTTAAATCCACTTTCAAGAGGCAGTGTGTACGGCCCTCACTCCTCTATGGAAATCTTTACATGCTAAGTTGGTACATGTAAATACTGAATTATAGATTGTCTCTATTAACTAGGCTACTATTAAGCATTTTTTGAACTTTATAATACAGTTTCGCAAGGTGTTATTTTTGTGTAATGAGAAAAGGAAAGTCCAGTTATTAATGCATTTAAGAGCGAATTTTATTGCATTTTGTTTCCTTGATAAAATTACATAAAGCTACAACACACAGCAAATAGACCAGGATAGGATCTGAAGGATGTGAAGAATGTCCATGTTCTTAGCTCCGTGAAAGACAGCTGTGAGAATTTCTGGCAAATGTTTGTTATTTATTGGAAGCAAACGATGATGAAATGCATCGGTAACCTGGGAATTAGTTATGGGTAGAAGATAACTGTCACAGACTACTATATATGAGGACTTGCATGCTTGAGGTGAAGAAGGAACATATTTTTGAATGTAATTAATTTGTGTCGCAGAATAATATTAAACAGAAAGTAGAGGAGATGCAGCCAAAGAGGTAACATTGCAATTCCTGCTGCTGAGCATTACCAGTAATGATTA